CCTCTAAAGCTTTAATTTTCCCTCTGTAAAATTAAGACATTAATACTTACCTAATGGGGTTGTTGAAAGAATTAAGTGGCATAATGTAAGTCCCAAGTACTCAATAAATGTTAGCTCTTATTAAAGTTCTAAGTACTCATTTATGAGTGCATACCAGTTGCTAAGACAATAATAGACTGATTGTTGGTATTATTATTTTTATGACTCAGACTCCCTATAACAACCTCAGTGCTGGCCTAGTATATGACAATAGTCCCTTGTTGAGAGAGAAGTCTTGTTATAAGACAAGCTCTGCCTTTCCAACTGACACTAGTCTGTGATTAGCCTTTATTTTCTTAGAATGTGTGACAAATTTAACAAAAAAATGTGTTCCTGAGATTATAGGTTTCATTCCCATGAACCTCAATCTCCACACTTCGTCACTCATTAGATTATTTTTGATACTATAAGTATTTACAAAATTTCAACTTGCATAACTTCTGCAATAAAAATAATAAAGGGGTTTTTAATGCATTTAAAGTAATTGCAAAAATGTCACTGCCAATGGCCACAAGCTGCTGGACACCATAGTAACCTTCCTTCTCCCCTCCTCCCAATCAGGCTGAGTGGAGAAGGAGTTTCTCCAGTTAATATCTGTGAGTATGACATCCTTTTTGTATTACTTGGAGTGTGTGCTTAAGGGAAGGGAGGTGGTGGGCTTGCAGAAGGGAAAAGGTATTAGGGGGAATCCCACTGAAAGGTTACGTTCTGAGAAGTTTTAAGGGTTTTGCTGTTGTTGTCGTTGTTTTTGGATATACATGAGAGTGCAGTGTTTTGACATATCATACATACATTGAGTACAACTTCTCATTCTTGTGGTTGTACGTGATGTGGAGTTACACTGATAGGAAATGTGTGTCTGATTCATTCTACCGTCTTTCCTATTCCCATCCCCCCTCCCTTTCCTTCATTCCCTTTTCTCTAATCCAATGAGTTTAAAGTTTTAAGTCTGTTTAAAAGAAAGCCATATTAGGAGAGAGGCTTTAATATGACATTTCTTACCTCTTTATGAATGACAGAGCCACAGAAAGAAGACTGGGGAGGCGGGTTGCTGTAATTGTTCTGCATGGGTTTAGAAAACCTCTGCCATCTCTCTCATCTCCCAGAATTCCACACCTGAGACTGGGGGCTACAAGTCTAACTCAGACCTCCAAGATGAGTGTCTGATGTAGACAGAACTTAGGAAAATCACTGGTTTACCTTGGATCTCTGGAGGCAGCCTTCATGCTAGGCACCAGGGCCTGGCCCATCAGGGGACCCTGCCTCCAAACAGTTTGGGAAGAATTCAGTGTGTGGCTCCACCTTGCAGAGCACAAGCACAGGAAGTTGCCAGGGGTTTCCAGGCAGCCAGGGCAGCATGGGACACGGCAGTTGGGTACAGTGGTCGCAATGCAAGAGAGGTGTTCCCAGCGTGCCAGTAAGAGCAGAAGTTGTCTCTCACAGAGCTCAGTGCTGGTATCGGGAGGCCAACAGAAATAACTTTGGCAGCTCACACTCTACAAGTGAGTTTGGTTTTCTTGATGAAGGATTCATAAGAGCAACTGACTGAACAAACCAGTGATTCTAGAAGCCAGAGTCCTCTGAACTACCCTAGCGTCCGCCCTCCCTAATGCCTCGTCTAGTGGTTCCAGACACCCTCGAAGCTAATTTGGGGAACAAATGGCATAACATTGAGGTTCCTTTCTCTTGAAATACACCTGTGAGTCTGCCTTAGTTTCCTAGGGCTGCTGCAACAAACGGGCTGGCCTACGACAACAGAAGCGTACTTTCACGGTCCTATAGACGAGAAGTCCACCTTGGGGTGTCAGCTAGGCTGTGCTCCCTGTGAAACTTGTAGGGGAGAATCCATCCCTGCCTCTTTTTGTGGCAGCCATCAATCCTCAGTTGTCCTTGGCTTACAGCTGCCTAACTCTAGTCTCTGCCTCTGTGATCATGTGGCTTTGTCCCCGTGCACCTGTCTTCACACAGCTGTCTTCCATCTTTTAATCAGGACCAGTCACACTGGATCAGGGCCCACCCTTAAAGACTTGTCTTGACTACATCCACAAAGATCCTATTTCCAAATGGGCCATATTCTCAGGTGGTTGGAATTAGGGCTTTAACAGAGTTTGGGGAAGGATGGTTCATCTGCTAAGAGTTCATTTTTCATTTCAGTTTTTCTTCTGTAAGACCCAAACCAGGGTATTAGTATGTCTAAGGCAATGAGTTAGGAGAATACCAGGTTGGTAGGAGAAAAGAGGCAGAGTTAACTAAACAACAGGTTCATCTTTGGTGTTTCAAGAATATTCTAGCCCCTCTCTTGGATTCAGAGGGCCTAGGCTGGGGACAGCAAATGAGAAGCAGCAGGATTGCCCCCTAGAACTTGCCAGAAGGAAGGGAGACTCCAGAGCCAGGTCCAGAGAGGGAGCCAGTATCAGATGGAGCAGCAGGGAGACAGTGGTGGAGTCACAGGGAAACAGCTTCCTGGAGAGGGGTAGTCTCCAATAGGTTCTAGAAGGAGAAGGGAGGTACCAAGTAACAGAAGACAGGCAGCAAGCCATTCTAACCTAGGAGAACACCCAACACTACAGCTGGGAAAGGCAGGCTGGAGCAGAGGACAGAATCTCACTAAGCTGGTGGGGAGACTGCAAGGAAAAATTGTTGCCTGCGAGAACACCCTAGACCCACCCCCAGGACCTCCTCAGGACACAGACCCTGGCAGCCCTGGTGTCTTCCCTCCTGTGCTTGATTCTCATCATGTGTCCTCTCTCCCGGCAGCTGTAGTCACCTCCACCGTTTCCAGTGGCCATGGCGGTGGTAGCAGCCTTGGAGGTGGAAGTCTGGGTCTCGGTGCAGGCAGCAGCTACTCCTTCACCACCAGCGGCGGGCACGGCCTGGGGGGTTCAGGATTCACTGCCAGTAGCAACCGGGGCCTGGGGGGCAGTGGCTCTAGCGTCAAGTTTGTCTCTACCACATCCTCCAGCAGGAAGAGCTACAAGCACTGAGCATAGCCCCTCAGCACCCTTGCCCCACCCTGAAGCCTGTTTTCACTCACACCTAAACCTGGACATCCAGGTCCTTGCTCTTGTCTCCCTTCCACGAGGCCCACCTATGATGCTGGGAAGCCTGGAGACCTGGCTGAACCCCACTCCCTGGCCAAAGGCAGTCTCCAGGCTCCTCCTGGCACCTGTTTTGTGCTAGCCATGCAAAAACCAAAGACCTCTTTCTTCCAAAGTTCACAAGAAGCCTATCTTGCAAGGCCTCGGCAGTCTGCAAACACCCCTTGGGCTCCCCCTTCCTCCCTCCCTCCCTCCAGTTGCAGTGATGGGGAGCCTGTGTCTCCGAGGCTGTTTCAATGCCAGGCTGTCCCAGTCTGTCTCAGGGTGCTTATAAACTGCCTGCTGGTCTGAGTGCTCCTCTGTTCCCTCCCTGGAATATGTCTATTAAATGCATGTGTAATGTGTTCGCATCAGGCCCTCTGTTTGCAAAGCTTATGGACCAAGAACAATCCTCCTCCTTCCCAGGCTGTCCCAGCGCAGAACTACTCACAAGCAGGCTCCCAGCACATCAGCCCTTGCCCCATTCCTTCGAAGCCAAGAGAGAGGTATGGGGAGGTCAGGAGACCACCAGTCTTCCTCCCCTAGCTTCTCCCACTTCCTCTTACCTCTCTTTGGGATACCTTGTTTGGAAAGCCCAAGCCCCTGGGCAGAGGCCCTGCCCAGCTTCCCTTTCAGTATGTCATACAGGGCGATGCCGTCCCCTCCCCAAACTGGACTGTTCCTGGGACACTGACGTAGGGTGGGCGGCCCAGCCTTCTGCCAGCAAAGGAGTCGATTGTTCCCTGACAGCTTCAAACTTGCAGACCTGAGCAGAGAAATAACAGGCCACAGAGAGGAGTTAAAAGTCAGCCCTGGGGCCAAGCAGAGGAGCCATTTAGACCATAATTGCAGGCAGCAGTGAGACATCCAGGAAGGTTCCACATTCCTGATTTTATGAGTTCCCTGGTCCCCTCCCATCAGGCCTGAGCCTGGGGTGGCCTGGTGGGCTCACCCAGAGTGAGGCTAAGGTGGATTTGGAGGGGTTGGGCTCAATGCTCAGGACCAAGAGTGGAAATGATGAGAGGAACAAACCAGGGATGTGGAAACACTTGTGCGGGCGAAAGAGCAGGACATTAAAGAACAGGGGAGGGAGCAGTCATGCATCAAAAGAGAGACGAGTATGAAAAATTTCGGGAGGATGAAGATGAAAGGAAGGGAGAAACTGTTCAATCCCCTGGTCCTCCAGTCCCCAGGGAAGGGCATGTTAAGACCAGGGAAGGGACCCGTAGAGGGATAGAAATTTAAAGTGAAGCCTCCTCTTTTCCCTGGGCCTGACTCCCCTGCTGGGCAAGTCCCAATGATTCCAGGCACGTAACCTGGTCAGACCACCAAGTTCTAATATTGGCCCGAAGGTTCACAAGCCTCTGCCAGGCTGCCTCATTACTCAGCTTCTATTGCTTCAAGAATAAAAATAGCTACTCCATAGTGATGTCCAGGGCTAAACAAGAGCACAGGTGTAAGGCAGCCACCCGGAGAAGCTGCTCGAAAAGCGTGGGCCATCATCTTCACCATCTACCCTCACGGAGTTAGGAGAATCAAAGGAAATGACGCTCCTGGCAGATCTGCCTCTTGGTCCGGCACAGACTGCATCCTCAGTAAACAGAATTTTTTTTTATTATTAAGTGACCAGGATGGGATGGGCATAGTCAGGTTCTTGGATTCAGAGCCTGAGATCTGGAAACGGAGGCTGGAGCTGCAGATGAGAAGCAAGGGGAGTGTCTATGGCCTGTGGCTGGAATGGGGTTGGCTGGGGGGCTCGGAACCCAGGCCTGCCACAGGCCGGAATCCCCAGGCCTGGTCCTGCCCTGGGTAGGGTGTTCCCCATGGTGATTAGCGGGGTAGTTAAATGGGCTGTGGCCAGACATGCCATTGGGGTGAACTCAACAGAGTGGTCTTTGATCTCCTCTGGCCAAGCCCAGTTCTTGAAAGGGATATAAGTCAAAGAGAGTCTTAGAGAGCCAGACTTTGGACGCTCCTCGTTCATTTTTGCTCCCTCGCCCTCTGGCATTAGCTCCCACCATGACCCAACGATCTTCCATCACCATCAAATCGGGGGGCACGCGGAACTTCAGTGCCTCCTCAGCCAGCCTCCTCCCGGCGAGCTGCCGGCCCAGCTTCAGCTCTGTCTCCATGTCCCAGAGTGGAAAGAGCTTTGGGGGCGGCTTTGGGGGTGGCTTCGGGACAAGGAGCCTCCACAGCTTGGGAGGAAGCAAGAGAATCTCCATCAGCGGGGGCTACCGCTCCAGCCGCAGCAGCTTTGGGGGTGCTAGCTGTGGGCTGGGTGTCGGTGGCCTAGGGTACAGAATGGGGGGAGGCTTCAGTGGGTACGGAATGGGAGGTGGGATGATGGCTGGAGCTGGGGGCATCCAGGAGGTCACAGTCAACCAGAGTCTCCTGACACCCCTGAACCTGGAGATCGATCCCTCTCTCCAGCGGGTGCGCAAAGAGGAGCGTGAGCAGATCAAGACCCTCAACAACAAGTTCGCCTCCTTCATCGACAAGGTGAGAAACACATGGGTCCCCACCTGGAAAGCACCGAAGCCGGGGGATCTTAGCCTTCTGGTGTTTTTCTGAAGTCTGTTATGACTTCCCAGGACCTTCAGTCCTAGGGACTAAGCAGCCTGCTGGTGGGGAGAGGGAGAGTGGTCTCCCACTTTGCTGAGCTGAGACCAAAAAAATTTCCCTCTTCAGACCCAAGAGCTCTCTGACCCACTATGAGGACATTGCTCTTCTCATGTATTTGGCTTAAAATGAGCACAAGGGGAATGCATTTTGAGGGAAGGGGGTCAAGTTTACAAGTTCATGGAAGTGAACTGGGTCCTTTTTTCTTACTCAGCTGAGTCAGCACTCATGTGTTCCCATGGCAGTAGGCATCTGCCTGGTGACATTGATGTCTAGGAAGCTAAGTGGGCAGAGAGGGGACACTCAGAGCATTTAGCATACGTTCTTTGGTAAAAAGGAAACTTGTGACTTCAGCCTGAATCCCACTCTGGGATTCTAGGGACTTCCCAACTCTGGGAAAGAACCCCTGCATCCCCATTGCACCGGAATTGGTTGGTTTTGCCTGGGAAGAACCAGTTCAAGGATCTTGATCTATCAGACTCCATATCTGGAATCTGAATGAAAGAATGCTGAGCTAAGAGGCAACCTGCCAGGTTCCAATTTGGTTCTACTGCTGCAAGAGTCACCAATTTCTCAGGTTTGAGTTGGGTTGGACAGATGGATTCTAAGGTCCCTTTGTAGGTCTGATAAACTATGAGTGCCTCCTGGTATGGACAAGACCACTGAGCACACAGACCTCACCAAGAGCACTGCCAAGGCACTGGTCCTTTAGCTTTGTCACCCATGTCATCCCACCTAGCCTAGGTTGTACTAACAGAGGGGAGATTTTCAGGAGCCTGGCTATGAAGAGAAGATCCTGGGCCTTGCTTTTCCCAGGTTCATCTGGAGGGGATGAGGGAGATGAGAGCCTAGGACTAGGGAGGGGCTTAGAGATAGGATGTTCTCCTTCGTCCAACAACAGGAGAAGCTAGAAAGGATGCATTTGTTAATAACTCTCTATAAGGATACTGCCATCTCCAAAGGCTTGGAGAAACTGTTCCTTTATTCATTTTGGTTCCTCTGAGTGGAAAGGCTTTGGTCAAGGGGAAGGGTAATGCCTCCCAGGCTAATTTAAGAAACTCAAATTAACAGCACAAAACCTCAAAGAACTCAAGAAAGCAAAGAGACAAAGGGGCTTTTCTAAGGCCACATGGCTAGTGAGGGACACAACTGGAATTGTGCCCAGGTCCCCCGAACACAACTCATGAGTGACCCCCTACTCAGAATTTCTGGAGTGTGCAGGCTTGGTAGCTTACATCCTAGATCCTGAGAAATCCTTTCCCAGAAAATGGACAGATGGAATTTTCTGCCATAAACCTCCTACTCATGTAATAGAAATAAAAATCTCGCCAGTGACATGGTGACAGAGGGTTCTTTTCTTACGTTAGCACACATCAGTATGGTTTGGTGTGTTCAGATGGCTTCCTGCACCTACTTCCCTACTTTGTCCCCCTTCAAATCAAACTACCACCTGTGCCCCAAGCCCTCTGCAACAAAATCTGTAAACCTCAGGATCCTTGCAGGCAATGGGGAAGAAGAGGAGAATGCCACCTGGATTCTGAATCTTGCAGAGACTTCCTGAACTGTTGGGGGTCCCATATCCCAGAGCACTCTGGGAATCTACTGCACAGAAGCCCTCATGGTCTCTTACCTCTGGCTTGGGCAGGTGCGGTTCCTGGAGCAGCAGAACAAAGTCCTGGAAACGAAATGGAGCCTCCTGCAAGACCACAAAACCACCAGAGCTAATATCGAACCCATGTTTGAAGCCTACATCAACAACCTGAGGCGGCAGCTGGACTGCCTGGGAGGAGAGCGGGGGAGGCTGGAGATGGAGCTGAAGAACATGCAGGACGTGGTGGAGGACTTCAAGAACAAGTGAGTGGAGGCTCAGCCAGCTCCTGGGCCAGAGTCCTGCCCTAGGGCTCTGGCAGAGACCAGGGACAGCAGAGAAATAGGCTCTGCTCTTCAGAAATGCCCAGTCCAATGGGAAATGAGATGCACAGCTGGGGCATGGGGTGGAATAGAAATAGACACAAAAGTAGAATGAGAACTGGGACCCGGTAGTCAAGAATGTCGAGGTCCTAGGGAGGAACTAGAATTACAGATGACAATGAGTGACATGGGTACGAAGGGCTAGGTAAACACAACTCCGCAGATGAGGAAAGTCAGGCTCTGAGGTGGCAACTCATGAGGTAAGAGTTAAACCCAGAGAATCTCACTGGCACATTTATTCAACCAAATCCCAGGGCTCCTTGACAGTCTTTATGCATTATGGCCCTGGCCAAGAAGCTGGAGGAACAGAGAAGAAAGCCTATTTGCAGACTTCCCTCAGGACTATCTGCACACATGCATGCGCAAGCACGCATGTGTGCACACTCGTGCGCGCACACACACACACACACACCTTTAAGGGTCATGGTATGCTCATGCCCATAAACATGATTTTTTTTCCTTTTTATTTTTCTTGTTCTAATTGATTTCCAATTATCTTGGCCCAACCAAAATTAGTAACTTGATGATGAGTTTTGGTTACTGTTTGTAGAAGTGAGAGTTCAGGACTCTAAAACAGAATCCTGCTAAAACCTAACCAACATGGTAGCCACTATCCACATGTAACTATTTTTTTTAAGTTTATGCAATTTTATTGATCAATTACACCTCGAGAAAACTGATCAGTGGTGGGCACATACTGACTGAATTTAATATGATATAGTTCATTTGTCAAAAGATCAAGTTCATGTGCCGGACTAAAAAGAAAAGTAACTTAAAATTTTTTTAATTATCTGGCTCTACATTATTTTTATAAACAAAAACACAAAACAGCTATTATAGGGTTAGAAACTTGAACTTCGTAAATTCAAAGTCTTGGTTTCTCCCTTCTCCTGCTCTTATTTTGTTCTTTTAATCAATGCTGTTAATCTTCTTATTGTCTGGATAAGAGTCTTTCTGAAACTTCCCTTGTCACATTTAAATCTATTAAATAAAATTTGAAATCCCATTCCTCAGTCACACTAGCTGCATTTTAAGTGCTCAATCACACATGTTAATGGTTTCTGTAATGAACAAAGATACATAGCATTCTATCATTGCAAAAGTTCTATCTGACAGTGCTATAGAACCTAGTCAATGGCACTCTCTAGCTGAATGATCTCAAGAAAACTGTTTAACTTCTCCAAACCTCAGTTCATCTGTTATAGGGATGACAATAGTGCTCCACTTATAAGGGAGTTGAGAATATTAAATCAAAACTTGCATGGAAAGTGCTTGGTAGGGCACCCAGTGCTTGACATAGTAAGTCCTTAAATGTTATCTATTTTGATTGTCCTTATGACTAGGCATCTGTGTGTGGTAATACAGACCAAGGTGAGAGAAGAAGGAGCAGATGGGTAATTTATAATGCAAGTACAAACATGGGGTAACAGGGTTTTAATCCGAGAAGGCTTTCTGGAGGAAGAGGAGACTAAAGCTGAAAGCACAGGGGGAGGGACGTGGGATCTGTTGAAGAGCATGTTCCTGGTTAACAGCTAGGCAGTGTTCCTGTGGGATCCAGGTGGCCTGTGCAGCAGAGGGACTATGAGCTGGGAGACATCAAAGACAAGGACAGTGGCATGGAGTCAGGTGAAGAAAAAATGTTCAGATTTCATAAAAAGGCAACTGAAGGCAACAATAAGGAGCACCAAATTGGTTTTCCCAGAGAACATGGAAGAAGGCACAGCACTGAAGTCTCAATGGCAGGAAAGTGTGTGGTGCTCAGGTCCCACGGGGCAGTGAAATTCTAGTAACACACCTGTATGTGTTCAGACTTGGTAGTTGTCAAAGATTAAAGACTTGCCATTCCATAGACGGGAAAGAATTCAGAGAGGTTAGGATCTAGCTAGCCAGTGAAGTTGCCCAGGGTGACTCAGTGGCAGGCGGGACTTCCCGGCCAAGAGCTGAACCCCGGCTATCTAATGCAACTGATGCTTCGGAGACTCAGGTGGGGAGTGGGTCACCTGGGGAAGAAGTGAGGCTCCCTTCTCAGAGAAGGGTGAGCAGGAAAGTATCTCCATAGCCCCATTGAGCAGGAGGGGGTGTGTTGCTGCCTAGGGGAAAACCCAAGAATAAGACAACAAGGGGAATGGACTCTGCTCCTTAGGTGTGGTTCAGGTGGCTGAGGACACCTGAGGGGTATGCAGGCTGAAGACACCAGAGGGGACAGGACAGTATAGTGGGATACAGGAGCCAGGTCAGATCCCAGGAGCCTCTTACTGCTCTCTCCATTCTTCCTCTCACTACCTCTGTTTGTGTTGGGGTGAGCCCATTAGAAAATAAAATAAAATAAGGAAGCATGTCTGCTTCATCCGGGGACCCAAGTATTCTAAGGAGATGAGCTGTGGAATGAGGGGTGGTTTTATTCTATTCTCAGTTTGCACTGGGGCAGTGTTTGATTGGCGACTTAGGGGTATATGTGTCCTGGAGAGCTATGGTAGAGTAGGATATTTTCCAATGACCTATCTCCAGAGCCCTCCTCCACTCCCACTCCTTCTCTACTCTTCCCACAGGTATGAAGAGGAAATCAACAGGCGAACAGCAGCGGAGAATGAGTTTGTGGTGCTCAAGAAGGTGAGGGGACAGAGAGCCAGGCTGGGAGACGGGGGCAGTATAGGGGTCAGATCACAGAGGTCTGGAACTTTCTGCTTGATGGGACTATCAAAGGGAGAAGAGAAACTTCCAGGGGCTGAGTTGGAAGGGGACAGAGCTGCAGCTATAAAGGTTGGAAGCCAGGTGGGCTTTGGGGGGAGGCTTGGAGAACCTAGAGGCAGTGGGAGCCCAGGGTCCCAGGATGGGGTCTCTTCACCATGTGAGGTGCCATAGAAGACCTTTCACATGGTACCTGCTAACAACCAGGAAGAATCCCTGAGGACTCTGTTCCTCCTATGGTATGGATCTTCCCCCTCCTCCAACCTCCACTCCACAGCTGGGAAGAGACAGGTTCCCCCTCAGGAGCTGAAGCTACCCCTCTAGCTCATGGCCAGAGGCAGCAAGCTGGGCCCAAAAGTGGGCCCAAGGTGATAGCATGTTCTGTGCCCAGGATGTGGACGCTGCCTACATGAACAAGGTGGAGCTGGAAGCCAAGGTGGATGCCCTGATGGATGAGATCAACTTCCTGAGGGCGTTCTATGAGGCGGTAAGAGGACCCAGTGTTCCCCCAACCTCTGGAAGGGCTGGTGGCTGGGACAGTGGCTGCTGATTCCTTCCCTGGCCTTCTGCTACAGTCCCTCTCTCCATCTGTGGGTGTAATTCATGAGGCAGATGCAGGTTCCCATACAAGGGAGAAAACAAGTTTCCTTAGAACAGCTAGAAGGTAGGGAGAGGTGGAAAATTTAGCCTCGACCACTTGAACCAACCATGTTCCATTGGGCAAACAAAAGAATGGACTTCCTGTGATTGAAATGCCTGTAGTTCCCACAGAAGCACCTGAGCAACCTGGCTCCCCCAGCCCAGCCCAGCCCAGCCCTATCTGCTGCTCTTCCTAGAGCTATTATTGCAGAATGACACAATTACGCAAATCAAGCAGCAATTAGCAAGCCTGCAGATGCTTCTGAAAGCCCGCAACACAATTGCCTGCTTCTCCTAAAGACATGATTTTGTTGAGCACCTCTATTCAAGGATACTCTTCTCAGACACTTACCACTAGGATGGTACTGAGAAAACCCAATGGAACCCCTAGATTCTTAGGTCTTATAGTTAGGGAGTCAGGCAATGGCAAGGTAATCAAATAACTACCATTTCAGACATAATGGGGGCAAAGAAGAAAAATGGCAAGAGGCAGCCATGGAAGGCAAGGAGCAAGTGACATTTAATAAGTCTGAAGGAAGAGAAGATATGAGCCAGAAAGACAAGGGGAGGTGGATTGTGTCTCAGCCACAGGGATCTGGAAGAACAGCATGGCTAGAGCAGAGTGAGGAGGTGGGACAGCAGTGTCAAGGTGGGGAGAGGAGGGGGATTGGTAGGTCTCCAGGTAGGACAGTTGACATCTATAGGGTCAGCTATGTTTGGTGCCCACCAGCAGCCTGCCATGATGTTCCAAGACCAGAACTGTCAGCTCTAAGACCAGGTGCCTCCAGTGACCATTTCAGAGCTTGCATGAGACAAAAAGCTGTCCTTTGCTCTGCTTATTCTCTTCATTATGGCAACCAGCGTGGTGCTGGCTCCTAAATCTGAGGGGGCCCCTTGTCCAGCAGGCCCATGGGCTGAACCTCACCCCCACCCCACCCACAGTGAGGTCAGGGAGCAGGAAAAACTGTACGGAAAAAACCAAACTGCAGCTTAAGAACAAAATAGCCCTTTGCTGAAACAGAAAATGTAAGAAGCAGCTGGTACTAAAGAGGATAGAGGGGTATTTTTGCTTTGATTTATGCTTTGGAGCAGCAATTCTCAGATTCCAAAGCATCCGAACCTTCTGGAGTCTTGTTAACATACCAGCTTGGACTGAGGATGTCTGGGGAGCTGAATGTGGCATTCCCATCCTGCTCCCAGGTGGGTGGGGCTGATACTGTCCATCTGAAGTGAGAAAATCCACTGCTTTGGTCAATTCTGAAAATAGATCAAATCAAATTAATTGTGGGCTTACTGTTCAAAAAACATCTTTTATGGGTTACTACTGAGCCCTCACGGAAGTCTTGCAAGGCAGTATTGCGATGAGCCTCTCTGAGACCCAGAGATGCTCTCCAAACTTGCTCTGCAGAGCCAGACTTGGATTTCTCAGCCCCATGTGCTTTCTGCTAATCCAAGCTCATTTCCATTTCCCAGTCCTGAGGAGCAAAATTGGGAAACAGAATGAGGACATAGCCGAGTTGTCTGGCTCCTTCTGACTCAGTTTTCTTTCCCAAGTTGATTTCTTTATGTGGTATGAAGGGCTGTGCTTTCTCAGAACATTAACAGTCATAACAAGGTGTGCTCCCCCCACCCCCCGCCATCCCGCAATGGGAGTGGTTTCTGGAGAATTCTGGCTAGAGTTACCTGTGCTGCTGCTCCCCAGGCCAGATGAGCCGATGATGATAAAAAGCAGCTGTAAACTTCCTAATGTCCCTCCCGAGTTTTGAAGGCTTCTAGAGATAATCAGGGAGCATGACCCCAAAATACAAGACCCTCTATGCCAGGGTCTGTCTTCCAACACAATCAGGCACATGAATGCCCCGCCTCAGCTCTCCCCTTTGGGCCCAATCACAGGAGCTGGCCCAGCTTCAGGCTCAGATCTCTGAGACCTCCGTGGTCTTGTCCATGGACAACAACCGCAGCCTGGACCTGGACAGCATCATCGCCGAGGTCAAGGCGCAGTATGAGGACATTGCCAACCGCAGTCGGGCAGAAGCGGAGTCCTGGTACCAGACCAAGGTGAGCTATCAAGAGAAAATCCATTAAACAAGCACAGAGAGCCAAGGTTTCAAACACAAATAAGATGAGAGCCTTGTCTTCTCAGATGTTCCAGCCTGGGTCAAAGGCATCTGAGTTCAGCTCGAGACTCGCCCTCTAATCTAGCACCATCAGGAGCTGGGGAATAGCCAGATGCAGGCAGAAAATGATCAGTTCCACTGCTAGGACAGATGGACACACACTTTCAATGCCCTGTATCAGAGAACAGGTACAACTGGACAGTTCCAGCCATAATGCCAACAGGAGGATGAGGAGGGGACATGGTCATGATGAAGCTCTAAAACCTCCTGGTAGAAGATAGAGCATCCAGAGAAGAGAGGTGGAACTGGCTGGGGTGGCAAAACTGAGAGGTCACAGAATGAGATTCTTCAGGATGGAGTAGACACTCTGCTGGGGGATCTTGAAAGATGAGATGTGGTGTCAGGACAAACAACTATGGAGGAGCTACGGAAACAGAAAGGGCTGGGCACCCAGTGTGATGCTGTATGGGGGAGGGTGCAGTGCTTGGAGTGGAGGGAGAAGGAAGAGCCTGGCCATGGGTCAGCTGTGGGGTGAAGCCTGTGGACACGGAGAGTGAGGGGCTATGATGGGGCAGGATGCCGGCAAAGCCAGGAGTCTCCAAGCAGGACAAAGGAAGCCTGTGGAGCCTGGAGCCACCATCTGCTCTCCTCTCGATTGCTCTTCCTGCCAGCTGCACACATCCATTACTCAAGGTCTGTTTCTCTTTTCTTCTAGTATGAGGAGCTGCAGCGGTCCGCCGGCCGGCATGGGGATGACCTCCGCACCACCAAGATGGAGATCTCCGAGCTAAACCGGGCCATGCAGAGACTGCGCTCGGAGATTGATAACCTGAAGAAACAGGTCAGTCTTAGCTCCCAAAGGTCATCCCATCCATGCCCTTACCTTTGGGAAGAGCTGGACCTGGGCCTAACTCAACCCATGCAGAGAAAAGCTTCCTGGACCTATGGTCTCCAGATATATAGAAATGTATCCACTAGGACCTGTCCTTTCCTGTGGAGTCTCAAATGGCCACACCTTGGCTTGCATTACTTACCCTTTGCCAGGGAAGTGTGGCATTGAAAAGGGCCTCAGAAAACCATTTTCTCCATCCTGATGCAGTTCTAATTATCCGAGGAGGACAGAGAGCACTCCAGCTCCAGCCTCCTTTACCTTAAATCCATTTCAGGGAATCCTTCCATGTTTTTATCATAAAGTCCACTTCTTATTACATTCTCTGTGAATGGTGTCACAATCTCCCATCTTCCGCTGGCAGTGTGCCACACTTCAGGCCGCCATTGCTGATGCAGAGCAGCGTGGGGAGATGGCCCTCAAGGATGCCAAGAACAAGCTGGCAGAGCTGGAGGATGCTCTGCAGAAGGCCAAGCAGGACATGGCGCGGCAGCTCCGAGAATACCAAGAGCTGATGAACGTCAAGCTGGCGTTAGACATTGAGATTGCCACCTACCGCAAGCTGCTGGAGGGCGAGGAGTGCAGGTGGGTCAACTTCTGCTCCCACCATGGCCAAAGCAGATGCCACCAGAGCATATCATAATGCTACAGAGGCTGCATGAGCCCCACAGTGTCAGCCCCCCACAGAGAAATTCCATGCCAATGCTCCTTTAGAGACATCCTGTAGCTGCAGCCACTGTTACCATTCCTGCTGGACCCAGGGCAGCAGTCAGGGCCAAAAGTATCAGAAAGAGGAGTGATCATGACCATGTGGAACCCCTAAGCAGGCCATCTCTATGCACGGCCTATAGCAAACTTAGCCACACTCACGACCAGCCTCAGAGGCCCCATGTCTTCCCAGAGATGCCCTATAATGTCACCATCCTGGTCCACCTTTGGCATGAATCCCTCCCCCCTCTAAATGTCCCCTCACATATTTTCTTTAGTTTCCAAACGCTAAAGAGGTAAGTGGAACCCAGGACTCTCTAACTTCTCAGCAATGAAATGTCCCTTTCTCTCCCCACCTGCCACAGACTCACTGGAGAAGGCGTTGGATCTGTGAACATCTGTGAGTAACTGTCTTGGGATGAAAGAAATTGGGGGTGCAAAATGGGTGCTAACAGCATCACTAATTAGGATTTTGTGGCTAGAAAATGAACACCCTGTGGCATTAAGACCCTCTTTGGGGCTCTGTGGAGACCCCTCTCCTCCCAGTGGGTTCAAGAGAACTCAGCACTGGGACATTCCATGTCCCTAAGGAAGGAATTGGAGTAGAGCTCAGAGACTTTCTCCTCACTCTGGGATAATCTCCCCAGGTGACCCCTCGCCCCCTAAGCTGGCTGCAGTGGGGGTCACATGTCCTCAGGAGTGTGACACCAGCCTGGCCCCTGAGGATCCAATTATGGGACAGGACTGCTCAAGCAGCGATGGGTCCCCAGTTCAATGGCCTGATTTCTCTGAGATTCAGAAACTAACATAATAAGAAGCTGTGAACCAGGTTCAAGGAAAAGACTTTTATTTAGATTTAAGCACTTTAACTGAACAAGTAGAACAGTCACTGGCCTGGCTTGGCCTGGACTCCCAGGAGGGAGACCAGGAGGAATCATGTCACAGAGCCACATCCCCCCACCCAGGAAAAGATGGGCATCCTGTGTGATGCCACAGGAGCCCTGAGTCCTGGTCATGGAAATCAAAGCTCCTTGGGCGTCCCTGAATCAGAACACCTGGGAGCCTGGAAGAGAGCCTGCCACCAATTGGAGTCAGTCACCTTGGCCATCCCTCTCCTCCAGACAGAACCCACAGATAGCCCATCCATCCGGGTCTCAGAGCCCTCCAGGGCCCATTCCAGCCCACACTGACTCAACTGCTCTGGGCCAAGACCTGGGCTAGGATTTTTCCCTTAAGGAATTTCCAGAATGGGGGTGTCATAGGATCTTCATGGGGAGAAGCCAACTCTGAAAGTGAGGGTTGAAGCAAAGCCTTCTCGTGTTGGATAAAGTCAGGAGGCTGTCCCTGTCAGGAGGGAGCTCCTCATCCTTGAAAACATAGCATAGACACAAAAGTGTTGCCTCTCAGTGACGTAGTCAAGGGGACTCCAATTCCGGAGGGGTTCATCAGGTGACCTGTTCTGCAACATGGCAGTCTGCGGTCCTCTCCCTGAATCCGAGGCCTCATGTTGCACCCCACATGACAGCCTCTTGATAGAGAAGAGGAACCAACACAGCACAGGAGCCCGAAGTCTTCATTCTGGCAGGCATGACCTTGGCCAAGGCATTTGATCTCTTTGCATCTCATCTTTTCTTTTTAAAAGGGGACACTGTAATGATGCCCTCTCAGGCCTCAGTGAGATCAGTGTGGTCATAGCTGTGAAAGGGCTTTAAAAACTGTAGGATGATGGGCCCATGCCCACCCTGCCTCAGCCTGACCACTGTTCCCAAGGCTCCCTGGGGGGAGAGTGTTGCCTGGAGCAAGACGCTGTGGGAGGACAGGCCTGGGTATGAGACCCCACCCCAGAGGGGCATCTTGGGAAAAGAGAGGAACCTGCTAACGTGTCTGTCTTCCCTCCACAGCTGTGGTCTCTTCCTCTGGAGGCTCAGGCTACAGCGGGGGCAGCGGCCTGTGCATGGGTGGGGGCGGCTACAGCAGCAGCCTCAGCTACGGTGGCAGCGGCGGGGGCAGCGGATTCAGCTCCACCAGCAGCCGCGGTGGCAGCAGCAGCAGTTCCAGCATGCGCATCATCTCCAAGACGTCGTCCTCCACCAAGAAGAGTTACAGGAGCTAAGGCGCCCACCTGTCCTGGGCAGCCACCCCCAAGGTCCAAGCTTCCAGCCTCAGGCCTGATGCTTTGCCCACATCCCATGCTCACATCCACCGCAGCAGGCAGGGGAGTGGCAAGTGGCTATGAATTTAAAGGTCACCTTGTCCATCTCTTGTCACAGGCCCCACAGAGATAGCTCATCCATCCTGGTCTCAGAGCCCTCCCGGGTTCATTCCAGCCCACATTGACTCAACTGCTCTGGGCTTAGACCTGGGCTAGGATTTTGCCCTTAAGAAATTCCCAGAATTGGGAGATGTAATAGGATCTCTTCCTTCTGTCTGACCCAGATCCACTACAATCCCAAGATGATTCCTCTTGCTCAGTCCTTCATGGGAACCTTAAAATTGACCCAGGGACCCTAAAGAAGTCCAGGGCCGTCTAGGTCTAATTTTCTACATAGGTTGTTTCTCCCTAAAGATGACACTTTTCCTGCTGGGCCCTCAGACCAGGAAATATCTTTGCTAACCCTGTCACACATATTGCCTTCTCTCCTCCTTTTATTTTGTCTCTGTCCAGGCCCTCAGCCAAGTCCACCAGCAACTCCCCCCAGTAAAATATTTGAACAAGGAATCAATAGCCCTCAAAACAGTACCAACTGTGATTATTCATACTAGATTGGGAAAAAATTTATCAAGAGCCCGAGTTCTCTGTGGCCTGCAGCTGCATTGCATGAGCTTCTAGCCACATTCCTTTCCATATCTGCCTCATTGAAACTAATATTAGATGGCTGACTCTGAACAGAAAGATCCCAGTGATGAGGGGGTAGGAGGCAGCCACTCAGCCCAAAATGCCCGCACAAGATACACCAAAAAAAGGAATCCAATTAGCCTATATAGAGAACTGCCCTGTGAGAATCCTCCTGCAAAACAATGCTCCAGCCTCGGCCCTCTCTCCCTTTCCCTTATGCTAACCACCTATTTCTTCTGGAAGCTTCTCTTTCCTTTTTACCTTATTCACCCTCACTGCTTTTCCTACTCATCCTCAGGGCCCCTCGTTGTGTGTTCTCCCTCGTTGCCCACCCTTCCTCTCCTCTCCTCTCCTCGCCTCTCTTCTCTATTTCTCTCCTTTCATCCTTCCCACTCTTCCCATTTTGCAACATATTTTCTGTTTTTGCTCTTCCAGCCTTTCTTTTCCCACATCCCAGCCTCTGAAATGTCTCCGAGCTATGAGGATTCTCCTGTCCCAGTGAGAACAAAGCTCTCTAAGGCAGCACCTCAAACTCTCTGCCCCGTGGGGAAGAACTGAGGTGGTGAGCTTGGAGGAGAGACAGTCCTGGCTTTGGAGTGTCCCCTCCCTCTGAAGGGACATAATAGCCCAGTCTCACCAAGGGAACAGAGGGAAGAGGCAGGTGAACAGGGTGAGGGGCTGCACTGAGTTTTTTTTTTTTTTTTTTTGGAGTTGGCCTTCATGGGTGATTTCCTTGTTTCGTTTGAAGAGTTGTAAACCCTCAAACACCCGCCATGAATTCAAAACCAAACCCGATCAAAAGAGAAGGAGGTTCCCTGCCACTCGGCTGCCATGCAGACCCAATTCACAGCTCCAGAAAACAAGTTAAAACTTCTAACTCCCTGTTCCTTTCTCGCTTGCCAAGTTGCTGAAATTGCTTCAATAAAATGTCACTGAGCACTCTAGGTCTTGACTGAGTCGTGTCCTGTCTTATACCTGGAGGGCAGCTTCAGAATCAGGAGGTCTGGGAGTGCATGCCTTCTGCCCACCATGAATGCCATGAACCATCCTACCCTCTGCCCCTGAGCTCTGGTCCTGGGCTTCTGGGAGCCCAGCACTGTCACTGAGACTACCATTGTGTCTGGATATGCTGAGGGAGCTCCACTGTACCATGTGGTCCCAGTGAGCCCTGTCCCCATCCACTAAAGAGTCTGAAATTTGGCCAGGTCTCTCAGCAGCACCAGCTCCATGAACATCATCTCCTGGGCCCACCAGGGTAGAGTGAGAGTCTCCTTCCCTGACACTGCGCAACAGTGTCCCAGCCCACACCACCCTCCACCTCCCACCATTCCCCAGGCCTCCCATGACACCCCTCACTTCAAGGCCCCAAGTCAAGACTACTGAAGAGGGAACAGTGTGAAATGGCACAGTCAGACTGAGAATTTTCAAGGTGCTGAAATGTTTAAGTTCTAGGCTCCTAATCTACAGGCAAAGAATGTGAAGCATGTTGGTGCAGATTCCCCGTCCCCAACCCAGGCCTTCAGAGCAGCAGAGCAAGGTGGGGTTAGGAGGAACAGGACTCAATCCCAACCTTATCACTGACAAGCTGAGTGATGGGGACACAGCCCTTCACTCTGCTCCTCACTTTCTTTGTCTGTAAGATGGTTGCTACAGCAAAGTGTTGCTGTGGAGGATAATGAGATAATGGATAGGAAGAGTTCAGAGGGACCCAGCAAATGTTAAACCTCAGTCAATGTCACTATTATTATCATTGGCTTGATTTTGACCTGGAAAAAAGTCTCAGCATGGAAGTGCAAGACCAAGCAGAGTTTGCACTGTGGAGATGGACGAGAGAAGAGGAAAGAAAATTGGCAGGGGCCGCAGGCCTCTCCAAGAGACTGTGTCTGTGACCTAGTTCTGGGAAGACAGCCTGACCCACATCCACCTGGCACATTCTTTAGAGCAGGCACTGTCTGAAGAGAGGTCCTCAAGCTGAATGTGCCTCAGGGAGGCTCCAGAGCACAAAACAGAACCCCAGACCAAGGCTGAATCCCCCGACCAGCTCCATGAACATCATGTCCTGGGGGACCCCCATGTGTGGGGGAAAGCATCCCTTCCTCTCCCAAAACTCCTCTTGAGACTCCTATACAGCATTTGTGTGTGTGTGTGTGTGTGTGTGTGTGTGTACAAATGGGTCCCTGGAGAGAAGTGTATATGCCTGGAGCCCTCCGCCCTCAAGACCCCAGGGGGGGTCTGGATCGCTGAACCATAGCCAGAGCCTTGCCTCCTGAGAAGGGGAAGATCCAGCAAGGCTCCCTCCAGCCCAAAAGGCTACCTCCCTAGGAACTCCTGGGATCACCTAGAGCCCATGAAGGGCACTTGGGTTGGAAGATCTATAGGAAGACAGAGACAGCCCTGGGCAAAGAGAGCATCCTCCATGTGTCTGATCTGCCCTTGAATCCCAGGGAAGTTGGGGTGTGTATTTCATGTCCCTCCCCTTCCCTCCTGTGAAATGATGTAAAGTCCCACTCTACCCCTCCTCGAGGCTGAGCCACGGGTTATGGCAGGCATCTCTGTCTGTATGGACCCTTTCATCGCCCCCATAAACAAGGAAGTCTTGGATTTTTATAGGCCCCACCAGCATGGGCCATTGGCTCCTTCTCTTGGCTTTCTGCTACCCTAATTATCCACCTTGCTCGCCAGAAGCTGCCGATATCCCAAGCCTGTAAACCAGATTTAATGGTGATTTGGGGTTTGACCCAGCTCAGCCCTCCATCCCTCTACGAGATAAAAAGGGGAAGTCAAACCACGACTTGGCCACTCCTGCCCTCTCTTCTCCACTCCAGGGCTCCGTCTCTCTGCCTTTCTCTCCTGTCATGTCGTGCCGCTCTTTCCAGGCAGGCTCCAGGTATGGTACTCAGAATTTCAGCTCATGCTCGGCCATCATGCCCCGAATGGTCACCCACTATGAGGTGAGCAAGGGCCCATACCGGCCTGGGGCTGGTGGGGGCCTCCGCGCCCTAGGCTGCCTCGGCTCCCGGAGCCTGTGCAATGTGGGCTTCGGGAGGCCCCGGGTGGCCTCCAGGTGCAGCCTGCCTGGCTTTGGGTATCGAGCAGGGGCCACCTGTGGGTCTTCTGCCTGCATCACTCCTGTCACCATCAATGAGAGCCTACTGGTCCCGCTGGAGCTGGAGATCGACCCAACGGTGCAGAGGGTGAAGAGGGATGAGAAGGAGCAGATCAAGTGTCTCAACAACCGCTTTGCATCCTTCATCAACAAGGTAAGCTGTGGGCCTAAGATGCTGGGGTGGGGACAAGACCCACTGCAGAGTGTACCTGGTGGCCAGTCAAGGGACAAGGAAAAGGCCGGCAATACACAAGCTGTCCTTTGCCCATCGGCCTCTCCAGCCTTCATTGTTGAAAGTGATCGGATCAGGCTCAGCACTGAATGTTTCTGCTTCCAGTCCATTTTTTTAGTTATGTCTCTCTGGACGTTATCTGAGAAAAAAATCACTAAGGTTGCCTGAGGTCAGACTATAAGAGAAACTTTCAAAGCAGGTTATAACCAAAGAAATGCCCTTCCTGATGAGGCTTTAACAATCCAACTGCCTTCTGTGTGCCTGAGCTGTGTTGAGGCTCTTGAAGGCTCTGAAGTTGAGGATGGGTACTGTGACCCCCAAAATTTGTCATTGGTTTAGGCCTGGGGTGAGGGAATAGAAGAGCAGTCAGAGCTGGGAGCACAAGGTGGCCATCACCCAAGTCTTACATCTGTCCACCCCAGAGCCAGCTTGGAAAGGCTGCAGGGAGGGGGACACACTGCCTCTAAATGCTGCTGAACCAGGCGTCATCCCTCAGTTGCCCCTGGGCCTGTCCCCAGTCCAGGGAGGCTCTTGGGATCTGGACCATGCCACAGGCTGAGCTGGTGTTTCTGGTGGCTAGGCTTGTGGGACAGAAGCCAGGAGTCCTGGCCCCTAGTTGACTCCACTCCTGTTGCCCAGATCCCTGAGCAAGGCACTTGCTGCTCAGCCTCAGGGATGCCGGTGCCTCGTGGGGGAAGGAGGAAGAGAGGGGGAGGATGAAAGGAAGCACTCCACACCACAGGGATGCTTCAGAAATAAACTCGTTCAGTCACACTTAGTTTTTTTTTTTTAAGTTCTGGTTATAAACTCATCCAACAACATGGGCCCTGGTCATCAACCTTCTGTGAGGCCGGGAGCCTCCTGCTGATGTGGTCATTGGCCAGAATTGGGGCTACTTCCTTTCTACAATGTTCTTGAGAGGCAAAGCACCATAAGGGAATAAGTCCCAGGGCAAGGCCCAGAGACCATGCTCCCTGTGCCCATGACCAGTGGGTGACCAGGGTCTACCCACTCAGCTGCTTCTAACCTCAGCTCCAGTCCACAAAAATGGGGGATGTGGGCCAGAAACTGTCCCTATTCCTATGACCGGGACTTCTTTCCTTTTACAGCCATGTGGGATGGGACAGGATGGGTGGGAAGAGCTGGAGTCCTAAAACTCTCACCCTTGAGCTGATCGTCTTCCCCAAGTGCCCAGAAGCCTGGCCTCCCAAGTGTCACAGCGGGACCTTAGGACGCAGGCTTGCAGGATGCTCTCCCATTCACAGTCCCAGTAGGAGCTTTGGGAAGCAAAGTGGAGCTTGAAGAGGTAAAGGTTTTGGTCTAGGCTACAGGGTAGTGAGAGGCAGGCGGAGAAGGCTGTACTACAGACCTGCCCAGGCCTCTTGGGTGATATTCTTTCAGCTAAAACACACAACTCCTGAAGGGAAGGTAGGCATCCTCTACTGTCCCCAAAGTCGAGGAGACACAAAGACACCTCAGGTGCCAGTCAATGCAGAGACCTTAACTTTTGCGAATCCCAGAGCATTGGCACTGGTGTGTTGGGAAAGGTCAAAAGCCACTTACTACCCTCTCCAAGACCTGGTTCCCAGGGTCCCCCCTACCGCACCCCATTCTTGGCTGCAGGTCCGGTTCCTGGAGCAGAAGAACAAGCTGCTGGAGACCAAGTGGAACTTCATGCAGCAGCAGAGGTGCTGCCAGAGCAACCTGGAGCCCCTCTTTGAGGGCTACATCTGCGCCCTGCGGAGGCAGCTGGACTGCGTGTCAGGGGACCACACGAGGCTGGAGTCGGAGCTCTGCAGCCTCCAGGAAGCGCTGGAGGGCTACAAGAAAAAGTGAGTTGGCTCAGCTTTCATCCCATGAGGGGATCTAGGATGAGTTACAGAAACGACCTGGGCCTCGATTTTCCCACCCATAAAATGGGAAAACACTCATTAGGTGGAACAATAATTAAGTGGGATAATATAGGCAGAGCATCCTACAGGATCATGTATGTAGTGCGTGGTGGAAGCCCTGAATGTGTGCATTTGTCTTCATCTCCCTTCCCACCACCCTGCTTAAATAAGGAAGGCCTTCACGCTCTTTCTCCCTAAGCATGCTTCACCCACCATGAAGGAGTCCCCATCTCTACTCTGAGCTACCTACCTGCTCTGCTTCATGAGTCCCTTTGTAGGTCAGGACTTCTTCCTAGTCCCCTAAAAGATCCGCAGGCTCCTCCCTCCAAGATTATGCACCTGCTGTTCCCTCCACCTGATAAGCCCTCTCAGCATTGCCCCCCAGCCATCCAGCCAGCCCACATTCCCCTCACCCTTGACTTCCGGCTTCCTCATCCCTCCCCAGCACAGCTGGAAATGATCTGGAAAAATCGTGCACACATGCACCACACACACACTATTAGGAGCTTGAACTCCCTCTTTCTCGGTGCTTTTGGGCTCGTGTATTCTCTCCTGCCCCAAGTACCCGCCTCGGGTCTGATTCACAGCCTGGAGGAGGTGACTGGTGAGCACATGTTCATGGGGAACCAGCAGGAAAGCAGCTCAGTGCTTGCAAGAGTCGGAAGCCAGATAAATTGCCTCCTGATGAGTCCTGAGTGGGTCTGCCCCGGGCGCAGGGCCTCATGGGAACACATGCTGGTGAAAGAGAGTCAAGAGAGATACATTTTCACTGAGGAGAAACACACACCAAGAGCAGCAGTTCCTAAGAGATAGGAGCCAGTGAAGGGGAGCCATGTCGGGGACACTCATGCTATAGGTGCCAACATGGGCCCTCTCAGCGGCAGGCATTGTGCTGGGAAATAGAGATGCTCTAGAAAGGGAAAAGGTGGCTTCTTCCCTCTAGGTGGCCCAGTTTAGTACACAATGACCACCTGCACCTATACCCAAGCAGCTGCAATGCAGAACAGAACAGAAAGGGAACAGATCCCAAGAGAGGGAGTGAGCAGGGGGAGCCAGGAAGGCTTCCTGGAGGAGGCACCATTTGCTTGGGGCCTTGAGGGATAACGTCTCTTCTGATGGCTTCTTCCAAAAGGACAGCCCAGAATAGACCTCAGAAACAGGTAGAAATAGAAGCAGGAGACAAGGAAGGTCCAGAATGTGCCAAGAAAGGGGAACGTCTCTAACAGACTGTGGCAGGCTGTGGGAAAGTGGAGACTGGCCCCTCAGAAGGAGCAATGCCCTTCTTGAGAAGACAGTAGCAAGGTTACATTGGGAGACATGATTTGCAGTTCAAGAGGAGAACTTGGGATTTTCAAAATGGCCAAAAGGAGAGGATGAGATGCCACTGGTATTTCATCATTGACAGCACACTTAGCCCAGGCTCAGGCTGGGCACTGTCCTAGTGTGTGGTAGACATCAACTGACCCTCAACAGCCCTGTGTGGCAGGACCAGAGTTACCCTCCTTCCACAGGAGAGGAGCTGAAAGGCCAAGTCACTTACCCGTCTTGGCCATGACTAGCATGTGACAGAACCAGGATTCAAACCCAGGTGATAGGTCCCCGAGTCCTGTGCCGGGGCTCTCCTGGGAAGGGGGAAATGGGCGTCAGGAAGCACAGAGCCGCTTCTAATAGATCCACGATGCTCATCCAATTGAGTCACCATGGCCAGGCTGAACCTGACTGATCCCCTCAGAGGAGCCCTGTGTGGGCTGCGGAGCTCCCAGGCAGCTTGCAGGAAATAGTCGGGCTGCCTCCGTGGGTCTGGTGAAGTGGGTAATTGCTACCTCTGTCACCAGACTGCAAGTCGAAATCAGGTTCAGCACCCTCCCAGCAAGGAGGAGGCCCCAGGTCAGCTGGGTATTTCAGAAACAGCAGCCAGTCTCAGGTCAAGAAAAGCAGCCAGGTCAGCAGAGGATTCCCAGAGAAATCAACTAGATGAAGGAGCTTCCTCAGCAGCAAGAAAAAAATGAAGATAGCTTCAAAGAGGACTTCCCAGAGATTGACTCACCACAGAAACAGGCTACAGGGAAGTGGGAGGGGATATTCTTGGAAAGTGGCTGTGAGAAGCTCTGGTAATAATTATCTTGAGGTGTCCAGAGACAGGCTCCCTAGGGTGGTCAGTCACTGACAGACAGTGGCCCCCAAATACCTGATGCCAAGACCCCTTCCAAACTCCACATGCCAACTAAAGACTCTCTCCCGCCCACTCCATCAGGTATGAAGAGGAGCTCTCCCTGCGCCCCTGTGCCGAGAACGAGTTTGTTGCCCTGAAGAAGGTGAGGGGGCTACACAGGGAGGCAGAGGCCACTGAGCCGGACCGGCCAGCCTCAGATACCCAGCCCCTGGACTGTGTCCAAACATGTCTACAGCCATCCCATCCAAAGAGTCCCTCCCACCCTCCCTTGCCAACCCCCTTGACCCTGAAAAAGATGAAGGTCAGAGTCCACTCCCATCCCTCTTGCTAGGGGCAAGGGTTGGTTTGTCCCCCACTCCCAACTCAGTAGGCCAAAGCCAGGTAGGGTCATGTCTGCACCTGCCCAAGCAGTTGAAGATGTGGCTATGCCAAATCAAAAACAAAACAAAACTCTGACTCAAACGCCCAAAGATGAACTGATTGCCAGGATTCCTTAGACAGACAGTTGGGGATTTCTAGGCTGAGCTCTACAATCAGAGCTGAGAACATGGTAGGCCAACATGGTAGCTCCTCTAAACCCCGACAATCCTCAGATCCTTCCCTATCAGGGTGTCGGGTCCAGGCATAGGGGTCCCAGGGCCGGCGACCCGCCCTTCCACCTTGGCTCCATCCTTCACTTCCACATGGACTCCTTGAGGAAAAGTGGGCCCCACACCTGCCACCTGCCATCAGCTGGTACCTGGCTGGTGGAGGACATGGTCCCCACACACCCCCAGCTCCAGGTCATGATTCTGTCACTGTTCTGCTGCAGGATGTGGACACAGCCTTCCTGGTGAAAGCTGACCTGGAGACCAACGTGGACGCTCTAGAACAGGAGATCAGCTTCATGAAAGGCCTGTTTGAGGAGGTACCTGCAGCCATGCTGCCTTCTAGATGGCTGGTCAGGGGCCAGGGGGTTAAGAAGGCATCTACCCAGCAGGTGCCTGGAACAGATAGATCCCCCGGGGACAGCTGGAGCTCAGGGAGTGAGACTCTCAGAAATTGGAGTATCCAGATCCCAGGCTCTCAGGCTCCTCAGGGAAAGTTCTGGGACACTAAAGGACAGGGACCAGGAGGATATTGATGGCGGAAGTCCTGGAACAGCTACAGCAGAGACCTGTGCAAATCTCCCACAAGAGATCAGAGCAGGCTGTCCCCATCCGGCTGCTGATTCTCAGAGCTCACTCCTTCACCTTGGCCCTCCCCAGGAGATCCTCCTGCTGCAGTCTCAGATCTCCGAGACCTCAGTCATTGTGAAGATGGACAACAGCCGGGATCTGGACGTGGACGGCATCGTTGCCGAGATCAAGGCCCAGTATGACGACATTGCCAGCCGCAGCAAAGCTGAGGCAGAGGCCTGGTACCAGTGCCGGGTAAGCTGGGGTGCAGAGGCTGGGCTGGGGGTAGGGAGGGACAGGGAGCAAGGGAGAGGGGAGAAGAGAGAGGAAATAGGCAGGGCCAGGGGAGGACCCCCAGATGCTCTGGGCCCCAGGAAGTGAGTAAGGACTGGGCCATGCCACAGCGCCAGGGAATCCCATAAATCCCAGCTCTATTGTTTCTGCCAAGCTTCACGCCAGTTCCCTACAGAGCATGTAGGAGGGACCCCCACAGATAGGCCAGGCCTGTCACCAGGGTGCCTGGCTTTATTTACCTTCAGACTCACCAGAAGCGCTCCTCTAAACAGCCTTCAATAAACCTAATTGGTGATGATGGCAAAGAGGGCTCTGGGCTTGGAGACGTGGGAGGCTGGTGGCATGGGGTGGTTACTAATGGTACAGCAGAAACAGTGATTAAGGTGGGCCCAGACTTAGTAATTAGGGGATTGCTGGGAGGGCAGGGGAGCCCCTGAGGGCAATCTGAGTTAACAAACACTATCATCTCAGTGTCACTGCCCTGTCTGTGAAAGGCACCGCGCATGCGTCCGCTCACTGGTTCGTGCATTCAGGCAACTGTTCATTGAGGATCCATCGAGTGCTAGGAGCTGGAGATGCAGCAGCGAACAGAATAGACAGCAACCTGGCCCACATGTCACTTCCTTCTTAGAGGCAGAGGCAGGGGGCAGACAATGAAGGAAACAAGAAAGTCCAGAGGATGTATGTTAGATAGTGGTGTATATTAGGGAGGAAACAGGTCAGGTAGAGGGTAGGGAGTGTGTGGAGGGTGGCTTAGATGGGGGCCAGCGAAAGATGGCCCTATGGAGCAGGGCGACATCCAGGATACCAAGAGTGAGACCAGACCTGTTCTGGAGGAATTATATTTCTGGGGGACAGGGGGAGTGTATAACTAATCACCATGAGAGACAAAGAGTGTGTGGTGATTGCCAAGGTCAAGCAGCAGATTCAGGGGCCTGGAGACAGAAGCAACACGTTGTACCTGAACAGGCAGAAGAATTGTCAGTAAGTAGAGATGTCAATAAGCAGAGGACTGGGGAAGCAGGCTGAGGAGCAGGAGACGCAGAGGCAAGAAAGTGAGATCCCGGTGTGCTGTGAGGAAGCTGGGTCCAGACAGACTTTTGGGGGCTGGGTTGCCAAATGTCTGCAGGGCTGTGCCAAATATTTTGGGGCTCTTTCTGAAGGTAATAGGTACCCCACCCAGCCAGGGCCTCAAGTACTGCTCTGCCTATTTTCTGAAGATCTGTGGTAATCAGAAATAACAAACCCTGGCCTGGAGCCAGCCCTGGTGACTCCGTCTGTGGCCCAACCATGGCCAGCTTCACCCTGCTGGCCCCTTCTCTGGTTGCTCCTGGACCATCCATCAGTCAAGTGGGCTCAGGGGACACAAGCTCAGTTTCCCATCATCCCGTCAGAACCATAAAGATGATTCTATTGGTTAAAGATTGTATTTAGTTAGCTATAAGAATCAGAAAATTTTTTAAAAAATATTAAATTCAGTTTTTTTTTTTTTCATGTGACAGAGTACAAAAATAGACTGCCCAGGATCATACCACCAGGGACTCAGGATCCTTTTTTTTTCTAATTTGTTATACATGACAGCAGAATGCATTACAATTCATATTACACATATAGAGCACAATTTTTCATATCTCTGGTTGTATACAAAGTATATTCACACCATTTGTGTCTTCATACATGTACTTAGGGTGATGATGTCCATCTCATTCCAACATTCCATTCTACGCCTTTTTTTTTTTTTTTTTTGGACTGGGGATTGAGCCCAGAGGCACTTAAACACTGAGCCACATCCCCAGTCCTATATATATATTTGGTCTAGAGACAGGGTCTTGCTAAGTTGCTCAGGACCTCACTAAGTTGCTGAGGCTAGATTTGAATTTGAAATCCTCCTATCTCAGCCTCCCAAACCACTGGGATTACAGGCATGTGCCACTTGCCCAGTCAATTCTACCATCATTTTTTTTCTTAATACTTTTTTAATTGTTGATGTACCTTTATTTTATTTATTTATATGTGGTGTTGAGAATTGAACCCAGTGCCTCATATATGCTAGGCAAGTGCACTACTGCTGAGCCACAGCCCCAGACCCTATTCTACCTTCTTTAACAATCATTTTCAGGCTCATGATTGCCTCATGTCCCAAGATAGCTACAAACATCACTAATGTTCAGCAAGAAGGAGAAAAGTAGAAGGTGGAAAACATGGCAGCTGAGTCATTCCCCACTTAAAAAGCTTTCCTAGAATCCCTACCCAGCAATGACCATAGACCTCATTGATCAGAAGCTGGGAAATATTATCCTATCTGGGTTCAAAGGGTTCTGTTTTAAGGGAAAAGGAGTGGATATTTATTAGGCAGCTGCAGATTTCCCCACAGTAACCCAATAACAGAAGAGCCAACTTGATTGTGCTTAATATGAATTAAGTGGGAAATGACTCAGCTGCCATGTTTTCCGGACCTGTTTGTTTTTGTGGTGCTGAGATCAAACCCAGGACTTCATACATGTCAAACAAGCCCTCTACCACTGAGCTATAATCCCCTTGCTTTGTATTTTCTTATGAAAGATATTCCCATCCACTATCAGAAAATCTAAAGCCGGCTAACTTTTTAAATAATATACAAATGTAATCTGTATACAGTTACTCTTCAGAAATTGAATGCAAAGGGACAAGGTTTTCAAAAAGTGTTTAGCTGAGGTAAGACATAACTTTGCATTTTGGTTTTGATTGTTTTGAGTTATTGATCTGTTAGCATTCTAGGCTGAGCCCAGAAACCCCTCCCAAGATCCAGAGGGACATCTAAAAGGGAGAGAGTCCTCAGACGGCTAGGGCTCTGGGGCAGAGAGAAGGGGATCTGATAGGCAAGGTGAAGATCTTGGAGCTTGGAGGGGAAGTTAACAAGCCTGAAGTCTCAGAACTGAGGGGTGAGACAGAAATAAGGAGCGGCCCATGGAAGGACATAAACATTGGTCAGAAATAAAAAGGGAATTGAAAGCAGGACAAGTATCAGAAGCCAGAGAGCACCAAGCTAGGAAGTCACTGGAGAAAAGACTGGGGACAGTGAGGAAGAAGCTAGGAGATGCCACAGAGCAGAGCCTGGAGGTGTGACACCTGTGTCCCGGCAGTACGAGGAACTGAGGCAGACAGCTGGGAACCACTGTGACAACCTCCGCAACCGCAAGAACGAGATCCTGGAAATGAACAAGCTGATCCAGAGGCTTCAGCAAGATATTGAGACTGTCAAAGCTCAGGTGAGGCAGGGGAGGCCTCTGCTGTGGGAGCCCAGCACAGGTGACTCTCCCGCAGGCTGTGGGGCAGGTCCAACGCTCCCGGGGAGCACCGCGGAGGAGGGAATAAACCTGACCGCCTCCACTGGTGAAGAAGTAGATCCTTTCTATAAGAGCTTAACCTCACTCCACCCCCAGTGCTAAGCCTATCTAGGAGGAAATCTCAACTCTCCTGAGTGTATTCCAGAAAAAACAATTCCCTATACCCAGGAGAACCAGATGTCACAATCCTAGGATAAAGCCCACAGCAAATTCAAACCTGGCAGGTGCCACCACATGTCTGCTTATCCTTCTGAGCATCCCACTCAGAGATTCAGGGGCCCCCAGTGATGCCATGCTATGCCCTCTCCCCCAGCGCTGCAAACTCGAGGGCGCCATAGCCGAGGCAGAGCAGCAGGGCGAGGCGGCCCTGAGCGATGCCAAGTGCAAGCTGTCGGGGCTGGAGGAGGCCCTGCAGAAGGCCAAGCAGGACATGGCCTGCCTGCTCAAGGAGTACCAGGAGGTGATGAACTCCAAGCTGGGCCTGGACATCGAGATCGCCACCTACAGGCGCCTGCTGGAGGGCGAGGAGCACAGGTGAGCTCTGCAAAGGAGGGCAGGGATCAGGGTGTTACCCAGCCCTCGGGGAAGTGTTGCCGTGACCCACCCACGGGTGGTGGAAAATCCAGAACAGCACACAGTCCTTGAGCCCTCCTGCTCGACATGGTGAGGGCAAGAGAAGGGGAGCTTCCACCTGGAGTGCCTCACTCTGTTTATTTCTTTGTTTTCTCTTTGTGGTACTGGGGATGGCAACCCAGGGGCGTCACACATGCTAGGCAAGCACCTTCCCACTTCATTTTTTTCTGATGCAGTCACCCTGTCTTCTCCTCCTCCTCTCTCCAGGCTGTGTGAAGGCATCGGGCCTGTGAATATCTGTAAGTAGATGAACCTTGGCCCCAAAGTGCCAGGTGGCGGGAGTTGATAACACAACCTACAAGTTGGCACCACTCCATCCAGACCTCTGGGGCATCTCCCACCTCACAAAAAGCCCTGGGTTGATGGAGAAGGTCTCTGGCAGGACTATCCATATTTGGGGTATCACAACTAGGAGTAGATGCCCAGCATGGTCTCAGAGTCCCCAAGAAGACACATAGACCAGAGGATGCTTTGCTAGAGGGCAAGGGTTTGAGGTAGACACAAAAGGGAGAGAGAAGACAAGGAGAAGCTGAGAGGAGGTGACATCGGGCCTGACCTCTCCAAGGCTCTGAGGAAAAGAGAGAAGCCCATGGGGATCTCCAAGCACTGGATGTTGCTAGGGTGGGGAGACATGGAAGTTGGTAGCTGGAGATGAGTGGCAGCAGGTGGGAGGTGTGGGCCTGGCTGAGAAGTTTCAGGGCAGCTCCCTCAGAGCCACATGGGGTGGGATCCTGAGCATCCCTTCATGTTCCCACAGCTGTGAGCAGTTCCAAAGGCGCCATCCTGTACGAGCCCTGTGTGGTGGGTACACCCATGCTGCGGACCGAGTACTGCCCTGGAAGCACAGGTGTCCTCAGGAGCAGCGGGGGCTGCAGTGTGGTGGGCACTGGGGAACTCTACATCCCCTGCGAGGCCCAGGGGCTCCTGGGCTGTGGGAGTGGGCGGAGCTCCAACATGAAACTGGCAACTGGGGGCAGCTCCTGCGCGCACTAGTGTTAGCACTGCCCCCAACACTGGAGACCCAGGGACAGGGCCCTGGATGTTGTACCCCACTAGGGCCAAAGGCTGTTCCAAAATCCTACCCTTCCTGTATTGACTCCAGAGACCCCTGGGATTTCTGCTTGGGGTTGAGCTGACCTTCAAGTTCATCTTTATTTTCAAGTAGCTGGGTACAAAATCTGCATTGGGACCTGGGGTGAGGTAGGATGCAGAGAGAGAGGGTGCATTTCTCTTGTCCCTCCCAAACTAGTGACAGTCAGCCCTGATATGGCCCAGGAATGGCAATAACCCCAACCACTTCAATTCCAGATAAACCAAATGGGCACATCACAGTTCTGCTTTGCAGAAAACCCCATGCAAGTTTCCCTTCAAAGCCAGCCTCCTCCTCCCCACTCCACCCAAGCCTCCCACCTCCCTTTCCACTGGCTCTCATGCACCTAAAAAAAAATTAAACTTCTTTTAGCACCCTCCTGAAATATGCACTATTGTAAACATCAAAAGGAGACACCCCAGAATCCCATTCTGAATTCCAAAACCAAGTGCCAAGATTTCAGATCATTTGGGATCTGCCAATCTCCTGCCAGCACAAAAACTCAAAAAGCAGTCTTTGGGTAGTAGCTTTACTTACACAAATTTGTTTGATCTCAAACTACACAAATGAGTCTGTTGCCTGAGCCCACATTGGCAGCGGATGGTGGAATATTCCTGAAACAAAGGGTAAGAAGACTTGAAATAGTTACTGGGAAGATGGATGATCAAGAGCTGACATTATTTACTCAATGGGATTAAGCCCCACCCCCCACCCCATATTCTGTACATAGCCAACAGCTCCTGCTTCTTCCCTTTAGCCCTCTAGATTTGGGGCTTTGGGTCTACATGAACACATTTCTCCACAACAGTTCTGTGGAGCTGCCCCAGCCACTTGGAGGCTCTAGTTTGGAATCTGGGAGAGGGAGGAGAAGGTGCTGGGCTCACCCACCTCCCAGGAGCCCTGCCCACCTGGGATACAAGTTATCTGCCCGGAGCTTCTGGGCTCTGTGTTCCCAATAAACTAACTTTATTCACACTTTGAGAATCAGGATTGCTCATCCTGCTCTGTGTCAGGGGGCGGGGGGTAAGATAAGGCTGAAGGGAATCATGAGCCATCTTTGGGGACTGGAAGCTTGGGAATGGGAAGGAAAGTCATTCTACCAATGGGAAAACAACACATTCACAATTTGCAAGTGGCCTGTGGAATAAATATGGCTCCGTATAATTCATACTCAAAACCTGCATGTCACACCCCACTAGTTTGCATATCACTTGCCATGTTAAAAAAGCAACCGTATTATACGATCCCAGTGCAGATTTTGCACCCAGTGAGACCTCCTCACTGCATGGGGCCTTGCATACAATCTATAGAAAACCCTGGAGCCCACTATCATGTTTAGATGTAGCAGCTCCCAAACCCTGTTTGGGCTCCATTCCCTATTCTGGACCATTCCCAGGGCCTACATAGTCGTGGCCTGGGCAAAGCAGTGAAGATGGGCAGCAGCCCAGCAAGGAAGGAAGCCCAGGACATTTCAACCTCCTCTTCCCATTTGGAAACCCTGAGACCTGGAGACAAGATTCAGTGGCAGTGGTTCTACCCTCTGCAAGGTTCCAGTGTTCTTCCCTGTTGCCTCAATGACCCCTGAAACAGCCCCTCCCCTAGGGCTCTCTCCCCCTCCTGAGAGCTGGGATGAAGCCCTCCCTTCACTGCCACAGAGCACCCATCCTGTGCCTGAAGGACCTCAAGGCCCCAGGCCCAACATTAGGAAAACTAACCCCTGTGCCCTGAAGCTGCAAGATGTTCCCTTACCCAACCCCCATGTCAAAACCCCACCAGCTGCACGTAGCACTTCAAGTCTCGCACAATGTTACCACAAGATGTTCCATATAGATAACCCCGGAGGGGCCAAACTTGAGCAAACAGGGTAAAAACAGGAACTAAAAGGACAGGATGCAATTTTATGGTTTTTCGAGAACATAAAGTGGAAAAACAAGTTTACCCCCCAGGTGACCTAACAACTGGATTCAGAGAAACCAATAGAATAACTGTTACCGTGCTAAGCTAAAAACTAACCCCCTGCTCCCTATAAAAGATCTGTGCCCTAGAGCCCGGTGTGCCAGTTCACCGAAGCTCCGGCTGAGGTTTCGCTGAGCACCCGCAGGTGCCTGTGTATCAATAAATCGCCTCTTGCTTTTGCAGCCAGTGTCTCGTGTGCTTTTCCTTGGACAGGGAGTCGGAGGGTCTTTCATGCCAAGCACTGCTTTGGAAGCCAGTGATACAGAGATGACAAATACACCCTCTTATCCCTGGAGGGACTCTCAGCCTCATCAAGGAGTCATAAATAATGATGCTAAAAAGTATGAGAACAACAAGAAGCAACAAATGATTGTGCTGGAAAGAGGGTCAGAGAGAAGCTCAAAGGGAAGATTGCAAGGACAGAATCTGACAGGAAGCCTGGAGGTGCATATTTGTGGCAACACGTTCAATAGAACTCATTCATTCACTTTTTCAGTCACACAATATATATTTATCAAGCATCGGCTTGGGTCAGACCATCCAGGACCTGGTAGCACCATGGTGAACAAGACAGCCCTGTACATACAGCAGGCCCAGCACTGAGGACCCAGGATAGGGACCGTAAAATGGTACAATGATGTGTAGAACATTCTAGCAGTTCCTCAAACTCTTGAACATGGAGTTACCATATGACCCAGCAATTCCTTTCCTAGGTATATACCAAGAGAAATGAAAATACATGGCCAAACAAACTTGCGACATGTTTCAAAGTAGCCGGAGGCGGAAACAACCAAATGCCCATCAACAGGTGAATGGAATAGATCAACAACATAGGATCCATATCCATACAATGGAATCCTATCTTGGGCATAAAAAAAGAATGGAATAATTATACCTGCCACAACATAGGTGAACTATGAAAACGTTTTACAAAGTGATGGAAGCCACACAGGAAAGTTCTTTATTATTTTATTTCATTCACATAATAAATGCATTGGAAGTCCAGAACAGGGAAATCTAGAGAGGGAGGGAGCTGAGTGGTAACTGCTTAGGGCTGGAGGAAGTAGGTGACAGGAGTTGGGAGATAACTAAAATTTCTCTCTCTCTCTCTTTTTTTTTTTTTAGTGATGAAAATGTTCTAAAATTGACTGCAATGATGGTTCCACATATCTGGGAATAGATTAAATTCATTGAATCATACATTATAAATGAGTATAGCAGGTCCATGAGGCTCCTTTTAAAAGGAGCCTGGCCCAAGACCATGGAATGTACAGCTTAGCAGTAATTTGGGCCTGGAACAGGAAACTCCAGCTACCAGGACTATTGTGAAGGTGGCAGAGCAGAGGGGCATGGGAAACATAACCGAGGGTCCCTCTTGAGTCACAGGACTCTGGAAGCTCCCCAGGAGAAGCAGCAGGAAGCAGGCCAGCCTGAATCCTAACAGCCGCAGGACTGTAAGGGGAAGGAAGCCAGTGGGAGCTTCTAGTGGAAAGACATGTGCCCAGGGCCCAGCAGAGCCTGTGATTCCAGAGGTGTGTGCCAGGTGCAAGGGAAAGAGGGAGGGGATGGTGGGCCTCAGGAGCCTCAGTGCCACTTGCATCCCTGTTGCTCTGGACCTGGCCCCGAAACCAGCGGAACTCCCAGCCCAGCTCTGGAACCAACAGAAACACTCTGGCCAGGAGTACACCAAAACCTGGGATTCCAAAGAGACTGGCCACCTCTATCTCACAGAAGACTATCTGAGGCCCCGGGGACGCCCCCTTTAGGTGTTTGAGCTCAGTAAAAATTAAAATGATCCCTCACCCTCACAAGGGGCCTCTCTGGCCTGCCTGCCACCCCTTTGAGACTTTGGTTCCCGAGTACCTGGGCCCTTAACAGATCTGCTAGAAAGGGGAGGCTGCCTGGAACCACGTACTAAGCACTACTCATCCCAGCAGTGGGGCGCCCCCTGCTCAGGTCTGGAGACAAGCTCATGGACCTGGGTTTGTCCCCTCTAGAACATTCCAAGGACTCCCCCACTCCTCACTGTCTGGCAGTAACCCATTCTCCCTTCCTCCCATGGGGTGGTGATGACTCAAAACAGGTGAGACAAAAGCGCCTCCTGGTGGGAGCACAGTGTTCTCATTCCATTCGACTCAGCAAACACCTCCTGAGCTTCCTTCCCCTCTGGGCCAGCTCCCTGGATGCTGGGATACAAAAGGAACCAGCCTGGGGTGGAGGCAGGCTAAGAACAGTCTACAGCAAGCCAGAACTTCACGACGTTTGACTCTGCCTGGAGAATCCAGCTTTCAATCCCACGCAGAGTGCCAGGGAGGACAGCGTGGGAACAAGCAAGTCGGGGATGGTGGAAGGACAAGATGGAGCTCCTGTCTTCCCAGAATGTCTCCATTTCCTTGTCCCTCATCCTCCCCTGGCTCTCAAGTACTCACATAGAGCCTCTCCTGTCCCCCCACACCCTGACCTGCTCCGATGGCCCATCCCCAGGTGCCCACTGCCTCTGCCTCAAATGGTCCCTTCCTCACTGTGGCCCCAAGCCCTCTAACTGCTGCTTCTCTCTACTAGGGTTACTTGAGCACCCAGAAAGAATCTTGGCAGGGGACAATGACTTCCTAAATGGCACAGTGATTCAGTTAGTGGATCTGATAGCAGAAAAAGGGTTCCCTTGGCCATCCCAGCACCTAGTTACAGTGTTGGGCACACATGAGCACTCAGTGAAGGGTTATTGAAGCAAACCGCACCTAGCAGGAACATTTTCACTCTGGCCAGATGGCACTGCGTGAGTAATGGGAGGAATTTGGCTTAAACCTGAAACCTCATCCTTCCTGCAGGAAGAGGGTGCCCAATAAGAGGATGCATTTTATCTCCCCTGGGGAGATGTTTGGGTTTCAAGCAAGTGGTCATTAGTCTGAGTGGGCAGAAGTGGAGGTATGGGCAAGAGTGGACTCAGCCTCCCCTCCCATTCCGGCTCCTTCTGTGGGGACTCCCAACGTGCTTTCCCAGCAGGGGCAGGTCTCAGCGTGAGAAAGGACCTCCTCCTTGGCCAGTGTCTCGCTCCAGCACAAACTCTTCCCCAGGCAAAACAGAAGCACTCAGAAGGCGGCACTTAGCAAAGGCTACTCAGCGCCTGGACTGCCCCCTTTCATCCCCCCCCCCACCCAACCCACACACACCCTGCCACACCACATGCCCAGGGTTCCCAGACCCTGCTCAGCCAACCAGGAGGGGGTCCCCTCCCCTGCCACTCGGCCCGCCTCCCTACTCCACAGATAGCATCATGATGACCCAGCAGTCGGCCAGTGACACAGCTGAGGAGCCGCGGCTGGGCGCAGCCAGATCTCCAGGATTACATTCAGGTGGACTGACGACAGCAAAAAGAAACTGTCATGGCAGCAAAACCTCGAGCCCAGAGTTGCCAGGACAACTCCTCCCCACTCTCTACCTGCCACCCCCTTGAAAATGTCTGAGTGTTGTGTTATGCATCATCTGGTGAAATGATACCTCAGAACTATAAAGTGCTGATGGTGACAGGGTTAGGCTTGGCTGGTCCCAGTCACCCCCACCCCACCCGTTCTGCTCAGGGATCAAGGAAGCTGAAACTTGGGACAGCCCAGGAATGCCTAATGGGATAATGAGCCACAGGAGGGGTGTGGGTTGCAGGACAGGAATAGGGAGGACTGCCCAGAAATGGAGGGAGGTTTGGGCTAAAGAGAGAGAAAAGGGTAGAGAGGACAGGAAGGAGGAAAAGGAGGAGGGAAAGCAATGGAGTTCGGGAAGGGTCCCCAGGCCTTGACAACGCACATCCCAGATGTGTCCACGTTGAATCCTTGGAACGATGTGAAGAAGGTCTAACTCCATATACGCATGAGGAAACTGAGGCTCAGAGAGGTTAAACACCCCACCCGCCTGGCCAAGGTCACTGATATGCCATGGAGTCAGGGTGATCTTTGTCTACCAGCATTATTTAGAACAGCCAGGGCATGTTGATAATGAAAAACAGACAGATTTTAGCTGGTTGCATTACTGTTTTCAAGTTGTCTACAATCAAGCACCCTTTACGGCCTGTACCCACCTGAAGCAGGATGCTGTCACCATCCTCCCCTCAGTGCATCCCTCTCCCAGATCACACTGCTGACAGGTGGCAAAACTGGAGTGAACCCGGGTCCATCTGATTCCAAAGTCTATATCAAGTTCTCTGTCCTCACTGGTGCCCTCGATGACATCCTCCTGCTCCCCTCCCTCTTTCTCCTCCAGTGGGGTTCCTCTGGTTCCCTTCTCAATATCCTGGAAACTTTTGCCTATCCTTAGAGGAGTGAGGTGTCTTTTCCTTCAACCAGACAGATTCAAGCCCTAGAAGCAGGATCTGGAGAAACTGGACTAGTTCTCCTGTGAGCTCTTGAGTTTCTGCACTACCAGCATCTCCAGGGTCATTCCTGCTCACTGTGAAGCCTGGAGACTTCTCTTTCTAAAATATCTGCAAAAACCTAATGTCCCAATTCCTCTTCTTTATCCTCCCTGCTCCCCTCGTTCCTTTCTCTTCCTGCTTTTAACTTTTGTGGTGTATTTATTCATTCAACAGAACTAGGTAGTATACCTGCCATGTGCCCTCACTCTACCAAGCACTGGGGTCACCCAGGAGAACAAAATCCACAACGTTGTCACTACTTAAAGCTTATGCTCCAGCCAGGGTGGACAGATGATAGACTGCAATTCTGTGCAAGAGATGACCTCAGATGGTGAGAAGTGCTAAGGAAAAGGGAGCAGGGAGCCTGGATGGAGGTCAGAAGGGAACATGATCAAAGACCTGGAAGAGTTGAGGGACATGGCTGAGGAGCTTTTAAGAGGAAATGTCCTTGCAGTGAAACCAGCAAGTCGGTAAATGTCTAAGGCAGGAGTGTTTCTGCTTGTTTGATGGACAAGCCAGAGGCCACGGTGGTGGGAGCAGGGTGAGCAGGAATGGGAGGCATGCTGGAGAATCTTCCTTGGCATTGGCTCTGAGCACAGAAATGATGTAGCCGAACAGGCTTTCGAAGGATCCCACTGACCATAATGTTGCGAGAAGTCTGAAGGTGCAGTCCAGGAAGCAGGGAGTCTAGCTGGAGGGTGAATGGATGGAGCCAGTGAGGAGTGATGGTCTTAGACCCACATGGCAGCAGTGGAGTGGCAAGAAATAGTCAGAGTCCAGATATACATGCCAATGGATGGAACGAGGGATATGGCAAAAACAGAGGGAACAAGGACCACTCCAAGATTTTTGGTCTGAGCTGCTTCAGGGATACTGAGGATGGCAAGTAGAAAGTATTTAATAGGAATGATTAGGGGAACATCTTGGGACACTAGGTTTGAGTTTCCTGTCTAATATCCAAATGGAGCTATCAATTAAAACACATGTGTGGGGAGGTCTGGGGGAGAGCCCTGCCTGGGGAGTAGCTGATGCACAGTCTTTAAAGTCATGAGTCTGACTGATGTCACCAAGGTGTATGCAAAGATGAGAAAAGGCACAGGACTGAGCCCAGGGATGCTGTGATGTGTAGAAGTTAGGGAGAACTGGCTAAGAAGACTAAAAAGAAGTTGGGAGAATGTGATGCTTGGAAATGGACACAAGAACGTGCATCAAGGATGAACCAAGTATGTTAAATATGGCTGAGTTGAGGGAAAAGAAGACCCAAAACAGCACTGAACCCAGCAACACAGAGGCCACTGGGAGCTCGACTTGTTATTTATTTTCCAGCTTTTCCTTCCTCTTAGACACACAGCTGATACCTGAATCTACAGAAAATAGTGCACACCTGAGCTGTATACTTCCTGTCCAGAGCACGTATTCCCTTCTTAGTTAGAATCCCAAGCTTCTCAAAGAAGCTCAAGCTTCCAAACACAAGTTCTCCCAGGCACAGGACCACAAGGAGGAACCATGTCACATAAGAGAACAGAAAAGGTAAATCAGCTTCAATGTCCAACGTTGTGGACAAGAACAATATCCAGCTGCTTTGAACTTTTCATTTTCTATCCAGATGCTTATTGCTGTGTGTATCTGTACCCTAACCAAAGATTCACTAATAATAAGGAACCTGCATAGGCAGGATTATAAATCAGATCTATGGTCTGTTATTGGAAGAACTCCAAACCTTGTGGTTAACTTTACACACAGACCCACATAGCCTGGCACAGGGTGGACAATCAATTCTTAAATGAATGAATCTCCTCTGAGCGTCTCAAATCAGAACTATGTCTACACTGGCCCAAACAAACTTTACTATGGATTTAACTCTTACGTAAACACCCAAACCTGACCATGGAGAAGAGATAAAACACTGCAAAAGGTCTTTTGATTATTCCATCTATCCGCAGGGATGTAAAAAAAAACATATTCTCTTGCAATCGCTTCTTATGTGGAGCTGCACAGACCCTGTCTCTCTCCTCTGTACACCCACTCGCCTTTTTAGGGTGACATGTCTGCACAGATGCACCCCTCATGAGCCTCTGGCCGTGACTGTTAGCATCCTAACCTTCTGGTGGTTAGCCACACTGGCAGTGGAAAAACCTCTGAATTTATGACCAAAGCAAATTAATGTCCCCATAATGGCAATTGTGGTGGACTTATGAGGAAAAATAGGACCATAATGTTTATGTGTTTATGTGTTTTTAATGTTTATGGGTCTGATGTTTCAGTCCTCATCCTGATGAGAATAGGTGTGTCCGAGTTAGCTCATTGTTAAGGAGGTTATAGGCATGAAGAGTTTCTGCTAACTACCCAAGCTCATAAATGCCTTTTTTGTTTTTATGGGGCCCATCCTCAGATCCCCACATACATAAAAGGGGTGAGAGGGATCCACTAGCCTCAAAGGGACTCCCCACTCCAGCTCTCCCCACTCTGCAATCATCCTTGGCTCTCACCCAGGAAGCCACCATGTCTTGTCGCTCCTACAGAGTCAGCTCTGGATGCAGGATGGGCAACTTCAGCTCTTGCTCAGCCGTGACCCCCCAGACCCTGAGCCACTTTCAGGCCAGCTCTGTCTCCTGCAAGAGTGGGCCTGGTCTCCGGGGCCTTGGTGCCTTTGGTAGTCGGAGTGTCATCAACTTTGGATCCCATGCACCCCGGATGGCAGCTGTAGGCCCTCATCCCACCCGTTGTGGAGTTGGCTTTGGTCCTGGCAGTAGGATGGCCTTCGGCTTTGGTGACAGGAGTGGTGTCAGTCTGGGATTTAGGGCCTGCAGTGGTGTTGGTCTGGGCTTTGGAGGCGGCAGTGGCTTTGGCCATGGTTTCAGCAGCCCTGGCTTTGGCTACAGAGTTGGAGGAATTGGAGGACCAGCAGCCCCATCTATCACAGCGGTGACTGTTAACCAAAGCCTGCTGACACCCCTCAACCTGGAGATTGACCCCAATGCCCAGAGGGTGAAGAAGGATGAGAAGGAGCAAATCAAGACCCTCAACAACAAGTTCGCCTCCTTCATTGACAAGGTAGTTATAATGGCTGAATCTCTGGGTCTGGGATAGGGAGGCTAAAGTCTTGGGAGTTCTGTCTCTTAAAAAGAACTAGTCCAGCTCTGGGGCAGCACCTTTGACCCAGATCCTTTGGGTGTCTACCAAAGCATTGAGGTATGACCTCTGGGAGGTTCTATCAAGGAACGAGGACAAGCCAGAGAAACTGCTACATGGTAACACAGGCCAAGGCCTGGTCATGTCTTCTGGAGGAAGGAGGGGCGGCTAACCAAAGCTGAGGGCATCTGGGAAAAAATGAGACCTACTATCTGGTCACTTAGAAATGTCTCCTCAACAGGCTGGAAGTACCAGGACTTCAGTCAGATGTAGAGTGTTGTAAGTTCAAAAGATTTAATCCTTTGAAATTGTGGTTTCCTTAATAAGATATTCAGTTTCTGAAGCTGGGTGGCCCCATCTGTGCAGGATTAGGAAATTGGACAGTGAATTGAGTAATTTTCATGTAAAAAGAAAAAAAAATACATCCTCCTGTGAATGTTTAGCCAAGTTGCCTAGATTGAGGGAAATCTAGGTCCCAACACTGGTAGTCACTGATGCAGAGGAACAGTGACATGAACTTCCAAAAGACTTGACCTCCCAAGGCCATGTCCATGGAGAAGGAAGCTAGGGCTATGTTTGAAAATGGAAACTCTGTGAGCTCCAGTTTCTCCATGTCTAACATGGGGGTGGGGGCTGTGAGTTCTTCTCCAGCTCTACACATCTCAGTGGATGGGATATCTGAGGTGGTGGGTATGGCTTATGATCCCAGAATATACCTCCTGGTACCACGCCCACCCCAAATGTACTTTCCTCTGCAAGGTATGGTCTGCCAGGAATGGCTGGCATCTGTTTTCAGCTATAGAAAAACCCCAGCTTAAGCAGAATCAGTCTTTCCACCTTCCCCATGAACTGTCTTACATCTTTCTTAGGGGGAGAAAGAGGGTATTGTACTGAAACATGTCTATTTGTAGTCAAGACTGACTGAACGTGAGTAGAGGGTCACGGATATGCCCTTCCAGTGTGACCTGCATTGGAAGAGAAATGAAAGTCAACAAAAGAGACAACACTGTCCATATGTGATGGAGATTCATTGCCAGCCATCTAGAGAACTGGCCAACGTGTGGGGACTCTATCAAACACTTCATTTCTTTGTCCCTGTGGATCTAGGTACGGTTCCTAGAGCAACAGAACAAGCTCTTAGAAACCAAGTGGAGCTTCCTCCAAGAGCAGAAATGTGCCAGGAGCAACCTAGAACCTCTCTTTGAGAACTACATCACCAACTTGCGGAGGCAGCTGGAGACACTGGTCAATGACCAGGCCCAGCTGCAGGCTGAGAGGAACCACTTGCAGGATGTCCTCGAGGGCTTCAAGAAGAAGTGAGTGGAACCTGGATTGCACACACTGATGACAGGCACAGGCTGCTCCCAAAGCAGCAGCCCAGCTCATATGACAGCAACTGGGAGGGTGGGAATTGGTTGGCTACAATATACAGCTTGGGGACAGGATTTAGGATAGTAATATGTGAAGGGGAGGAAGAGTGCCTCCACGAGTCCTGAGGATAAAGAAGTCTTGGAATTGGGCATGGTTTGTCCCTAATACTGCCAGTGGGAATAAGTGAGATTCCCAGGAAAAGGATTCCCTTGATTCTGAAAACAATGCCCACATTCAGCATTGAGTTAGATCCTACTCTGTCAATGGTCAAGTGCAATGACCCTAAGTCATTTCTAATAGAGGAGTATAGCAATGGTCCAGATCTCCAGACCCCCAAATCCAAGTTGAAAAGGTAAAATGGATTTGGAAGAACTAAGACCACCAACTCATAGGTCTTAAAGATGGAACAGGGAGCCAAGTTACCCAATGGAGCAGAGAGTTCCTCAGGAGGCTTGCTGAGGGCTTAGGAGTAACTGGTTCTCAGTTTGCAGTGAGAACTAACCCCTTCATCTTTATTACCCAGGTATGAGGAGGAGGTGGGATTCCGAGCCAATGCTGAGAATGAGTTTGTGACTCTGAAGAAGGTAAAGAAGAGCAACAAACCCAAATTTCTCCTCCAGAAGGGCAAATATTCTCAAGAACCCCCAGAAACATCCCAGGGAGTCCCATGGAATCAGGGACTATGTTTGAAAATGGAAGGGAATGTGAGCTCCAGTGTCTCCATGTCTAACATGGGGTTGGGGGCTGTGAGTTCTTCTCCAGCTCTACACATCTCAGTGGATGGGATATCTGAGGTGGTGGGTATGACTTACAATCCCAGAATACACCTCGTAGTACCACACCCACCTACTTTCCTCTGCAAGTTATGCCTTGCCAGGAATGGCTGGCATCTATCTTCAGATATAGACATGGATACCCTAACTCAGCCAACATGGAAACCCTGACTCAGGAAACTGACTTCCTTAAAACCCTGTACATGGAGGTGAGGCTCATCTCTCAGGCATCTGAGGAGATCAGTGCTTTGTGAGTACACAAAGACAGCAGAATCCCAAAGATCACATCAGGTTCCCTTGGAAATTCTGATTTGGCATCAGATTACTTCATTGGGTCACTTGAATCAGAGGTATGAAAAGATGACCTTTTAAGTATTGTGAATTAGCTAGATAATCCTTGCTTTCAAATGAGCACTGGAGAATTTCCAGCAGCCTCTGGAGGAGTTCTCAGAAGAGCCATAGTCACTTCCACTCAGTGACATTCCACCCATCCCAAAAGCCTGTAGGAATTGGTCCTGTGGAAACTGACCAGATCTTCCACCCATTCGCAGATCCTGCCAAGTTGGGAAGGGTAAGCAGCATACAGGTAATAAGTATCTTATCCTTCTCTCTTCTATGCAGGATGTGGACACAGCTTTCTTGAATAAATCTGATCTAGAAGCCAACGTGGATGCCCTAACTCAGGAAATTGACTTCCTTAAAACCCTGTACATGGAGGTGAGGCTCGTCTCTAAGGCATCCAAGGGGATCAGTGCTTGACCTGGACTTCCCGGTGGCTTAGCCTAGGCTGGCATATTTTCAAACGTTGGCATCCTACATCCTACCACCCAAGTCTATGTGCTGTGTCATGGATCTGCAAGTGGAGCAGGTCAGGGGAGCAGGCTTCTCAGCAGCCTGGCTCAGGCCTATGAATGGCCACCTTGCATGTGTGATCCAAATCTCCATAAGCCAAGCTAAGGACAGGGGTCTAGGAATGTCACTTCCTTTCTACTGGCCAGATGACTCTGGAAAACTGATTTGCCAGGAGATGTAAGAAAACGTGTTTCTGATCCAGTAGCCAAACTAACTCGTTATCTTTTGCTTCATATGTGTTCCGTTTTGTCTGGAGCAGACCCAGGCAGAGCTGAGTTTTCAGCTCTGAGCAAAGATACCCTGAGTGAACACTCCCAGGAGCCCTCGCCTTGCCAGCCAGCTCCAGCCTCCTAGTTCTGAGACTTGGGAGGCCATGGTTTAAAATATTGGCAGCTCTCAATGGAATGTGACCAGCAAAGCCACTTTCTGGATGAGCCAAAGAAAAGTTGAATCCCTAGCATGGCTCCCACTCTCCCCACCAAGTCCACAGACACTGCAGTTTTACTATTTACTAAGCAAGGGAGAGGGTTGAAGGGCTATCTCCCAGCAGATAGCAAAGGTTCTAGTGTGACACTGAAATGGTTCTCGGACACGTCTTTTCCCTTACCCTCAGTGTAGAGGATCTTGATGTGTCCTAAACCAAATAGCAATGTTTTTCTGCCCCTGATCCCAGTCACATCCTAGGGACTCTATGGCAGGGTCTGAGCCACAGATGAGACTCTGAGCCCTTCTGCCTTGCTGTTCCTCCAACACAGGAAATCCAGTTGCTGCAGTCGCACATCTCAGAGACATCAGTCATCGTGAAGATGGACAACAGCAGGGACCTGAACCTTGACGGGATCATCGCCGAAGTCAAGGCTCAGTATGAGGAGGTGGCCAGGCGCAGCCGTGCTGATGCTGAGGCCTGGTACCAGACCAAGGTGGGCAAAAAGAGGTGTGGCTAGCCCTGGGGGGAGAGTGCTCCTTTCAATGGAGTAGAGCCAGGGAAGTTCTGAAGTTCCCAAATTAGTGGGGGCTGTGGTCTTTACCTGACCTTTGAAACTTCAAAACACTGCCTTCTGATCCCAGTATGAGGAGATGCGAGTGACAGCTGGCCAACACTGTGACAACCTACGCCACACACGGGATGAGATCAATGAACTGACCCGGCTGATCCACAGGTTGAAGGCAGAGATCGAGCATGCCAAGGCTCAGGTGGGCAAAAAAAAACGAGAGAAAGCCACAGAGCGGGAGAGGTAGGGCCCCTAGCTTTAGGGAGCCCCAAGTCCGATGAAGTCAGGGTCATGCCAAGACCCAGAAACAGAGGAATAGAGGCTTTGGGCAGGAAAGACTTCCTGGAGGAGGAAATAGGGAAGAAGGGAGAATCTCCCACGTAGGAGGAATGACCCGAGGCGGACCCAGAGAGGGAGGGGAGGTCAAAAGAACAGGTGGATTCTCTGGACCCCATGGGCAGCAAAAATCAGGAAGGGTGAAGTCAATGTGGATGGAAAGGGAGGGAAAGTCAAGCTCTACCCTCTGGTGACAGCAAACTACAGGATCACCATCCCTAGGAAAACAGCCACCAGAGGCTCCATCCCTGGCTTGGCCCCAGCTACATCCCTATCAGCCATGGGCAGTGTTTCTAACCCCCCTGGGCCCCTGCCAAAGCCCAACTGCAAACTGCCCTCCCTGCAGCGAGTCAAGCTGGAGGAAGCAGTGGCAGAGGCAGAGCAGCAGGGCGAGGCGGCCCTCAATGACGCCAAATGCAAGCTGGCGGACCTGGAGGGCGCCCTGCAGCAGGCCAAGCAGGACATGGCACGGCAGCTGCGGGAGTACCAGGAGCTCATGAATGCCAAGCTGGGCCTGGACATCGAGATCGCCACCTACAGGAGGCTGCTAGAGGGCGAGGAAGTCCGGTGAGCGCTCTGGGAGGGAGGAGGTCAGACACAGGCATCTGGGAAGGTTAAGCAAGTAAGGGGAGGAGCCAGGGGAAAAATTGCTAAACTAAGCTGCTCCCAGAGATGGCAATACATTTCCCACAAACATTAGTTGGTTGTCCTTGTCCAGAGATTAGAAGGTAGCTCTAGATCTGTGCTCTCGAATGTGAAGTCTGTAAACCTGCACAGTGTCTCATGAGTTTTGCTTGCTTGGCTGGTTTGTTAAAAATAATAACAATACATTTCCTTAAATATTTTAATTCAGTAGTTTGGGGGTAAGCCAGGAATGGTGACACATGCCTGTAATCCCAGTGGCTCAAGAGGCTGAGGTAGGAGGATGAGGCAAGAAGATCTTAGCAACATAGCGAGGACCTAAGAAACTCAGCAAGACCTTGTCTCTAAATAAAATATTTAAAAGGCTGGGGATGTGGCTCAGTGGTTAAGCACCCCTGGGTTCAATCCTCGGTGACAAAAAAAAATAATTTGGGGGTAGGCTCTAGGAACATATGGTTTTTTCAAAGCTCCCCAGTCGCATGTACAGCTGAGACTGAGAGCCAAGTGTCCCCTGCCTGTGAACTAAATTGTTCCTTTCTCTCCAGCATCTGTGAAGGCGTTGGCCCAGTTAACATATGTAAGTAGTTTATGCCTTTTCCTCTTCACATTTCTCTCTCCTTCAAATTTCTTTTAAACTCAGGCTCATGCAGGGTACAGGGCCCTCCCAAGAAGCTCCTTGGTTATGACCAAGACAGTTAGGGAAGCAGGGGCCACCTGCCCCTTGGACTGGGACATGTCCTCAGCTGAGGTCCAAGATCTCTTGGAGTCTGCCTTCCCCAGAGCAAAGCATTGACAAGGGTGTGCAGAGTCATCAAAGTAGGAGAAAGTTCCAGAAGAGACTCAGTCCTTTTGCTTTGAATGACCTTGTCCTTCAAGGGAACCATCTCAGAGAAAGAAGGAATGGAAAGGCCTGTGCCAGGGAGGTCTGTCATTCCCTGATGGCAAGGATGGGACAAACTGAGTGGAAGTTCCCCCTCCTGTCAAATAGTACTAGTTGTGCCCAAAGTACGCAGGACACTGAGCAGAGCACTATGGGGTAGCTCCAGGCCAGCCCCTGCTCTCTAGAATTTCAATCTTCTTGCAAAGGTGAGTCCTAGTTACTGCCACCCTAGTCCTGGAAGGACCCCTGGGAGGAGGAGCAGGCCTTGGCATACTAGATGTGATTTGCTGGAAGTCACAAAACTAGGCAGAATCCAGGTCCAGATTTCTGACTCGAAAACACAAATGTACACAGATGCGTGGTAGGACTGAGTGCTAATCTGGATGGGTCAGATGGTCAGAGCTACCCCTTCCAGGAGGAGAGTGCCCCTGGAGGCAGGGGAAGGAGCAGCAGGCAATGGCCCTTCAGCAGGAGGTTAAGCTCCAGGGGAGATCACATGGAGCAAAGACCCTGGTGAGAGAAGGGGGCAGAAAGAGTGTGTAGTGACAGGCTGGGGCTGGTCTATGCAGAGGTTAGGGTTCAAGTCCTGGGACATGGAAATGTGTCCAGAGCTGACAAGGGACCCATGTTGACAGGGTTTCTTATGGGAGAGTAAGTGGAAAACGTGGGGATGCACCAGGGACCCAGTATAACGGCAGAGAGAAGGTCACAGCTTCCTAGAGGCTCCAGTGCCTGGGTCATCCAGCCCACCCCGCCCACTCCGCCCCCACCCTCACTCCCACCAACTTGGGCCTCATATGATAGTCAGCAGATGGACAGATGCAAACATCCAGAGGAATTTCCAGAATTCTCCCACCTTGACCTGGCTGTTGGGTTTTAGTGCAGTCACAGTCTTTGGGCATCCAAGACAAGAGAAGGAAAAGAGGACCCTGACTCCTGGAGTCAGCCCCTCTGATGGTTTCTTCTCCGCAGCTGTGAGCAGCACCCGGGGTGGCGTGGTGTGTGGGCCTGAGCACCTGGTCGCTGGCTCCACCCTGTCCCGCAGCGGAGTCACCTTCTCTGGCGGCAGCAGCATCCGCACCACAGGAGGGGTCCTGACTTCCTGCAGCTCCAGCCTGGGTGGGGCATGGGGCAGCCACGGGGACCTGCTGAGCGCGGGCACCAAGGGGGGCTCAGTGCTTGTGGGTGAGGCCTGCGCCCCCAGCGTCCCGTGCCCGCTGCCCACTGAGGGTAGCTTCAGCAGCTGCAGTGGTGGCCGCAGTACCCGCAGCTCCAGAGTCCGCTTCTCGTCCACCACCACCTCTGGCAGGACCAAGTACTAAGCCAACCCCCAGGCCCCAGCTTCTGTCCAGAGGAGAACCAACTCAACGTCCCCTGCTTGTGCCCCTGAGAAGTCTCCAGCCACCCCTCCTGCCCAGTCACCAACAGCAGCTGTGCCTTGTCAGACATCCCCTAAAGGATCTTGCCACAGTATAGATATCCTGCCCACAGCCTCAGCCCCACTGGCTTCTCTCTGATTCCCAATTTCCTTCCTTGGGATCACTCCTCACGGTCCATTTCCCAGGGAAATGCAGGTAGAGCCCAATTCCAGACGCAGTGTACCTGGGGAGAAAAGGACTGTTCAAGCCAAAAGCAGGTGTTTGGGCTCCAGGGCCACCTGCGGCTTTGGTAGAGCTGGAGCACAGTGTGGACTGCACAGTGCAGGTGTCCCCAACTCTTGCTTCCTGCTTCTTGCCTTCCCTGCCCGGGGACACTTCTCTCCTTCTCTTCCTGGCCCAGAAATACCCACAGTTTTTGGTGGCTCAGGGACCCCTACGGCACCCACAGTGGTTCTTCCAGTGGCTTATGTCCTAGTGTTCCTCTTCCTGGGGTATTGGTGAGGTGGTGGCTGCGGCTGGAGAGGTGGTCTCTGTAGCACTCCATTGCCCCTGTCCTTTGGTGGTGTGAGGCCCAGCCCTGGCCACAGCAGGGTTATGTCTACGAGCTCCAGAGAGACGTGGGGGTGGGGGTGCCACCTGTTTGTTCTGCTCTTTATGTTTCTGGGTTTTCAATAAACTTGCCAAGCTCACTCTAACAGGACTCTGGCCTCTCCTTCTGGACTACACTGGGGATGGGGAGACTGTCTCCTAGAGGCCCCCAGTCCATCCTCCTAAGGACTTGCCAAGGACTGGTGTCCTGAGCCCAGGGGAAGCACTGGGAAAAGAAAGCTCAGAACCTGCCAGGGAGGGGCTCAGCTCTTCAAGACAAAGAAGACATGGAGCAAAGACTCTCAGAACAAGTGACAAACAGCCCACTTCTCCCCAAGCTCACCTTACCCTTCAGAGGGGCCCTCCTCCTCACCAAAGTGAACCCTTCCACCTGGTTCCCAGGTCCTACCCAGTGCCAGGTCCTCTGGGATCACTGCAGGGACCTTGGGGTCTTTCCATCTCTGCTCTTGTTTCCACCTAACTCATTCATCTCCAAGCTGCTGGAGAGATCTTTCTCACATGGAAGACCAGTCGTGGTTCTCCCCTGCTTATAGACCTCAATGGCTCCCCATTGCTCTCCTGAAGTAGCCCAGGCTTCTTCACATGGTTTTCAAGGACTTCGTGATCTGCCCACACACTTCCTACTGCCATCTCCTCCATGCACCTCACTTCCGGCCTGTCATCTTTTACTCACATTCAACAATTTGATAAATGCCCACTACATAAGAGTTGGGAATGAGATTCGATTCTTATCCCCGAAGAGTTTCCAATCCATCTGGTAGAACAGATGCACAAGTAATTAAGTCTCGATTTGATAGATTCTTTGTTAAGAGTAGAGTTGGCACAGGGTAGAGGCCTAATGCAGACTTGGGGCATCATGAAAAACTTCCTAAAGAATGTGATGTCCTATCAGAGAAGCAAAGGATGATGCCTTAGCCACACAAAGAAGAAAGAAGTGCTCCAAGCAGAGGCCACAGTGTGTGCAAAAACCAAGAGGTGATAGAGAGCATGACAAACTTGAGACTTGCCCGGAGTTGAGTCTGGCTACATCATAGAGGCCAAGACACAGCATTCCTATTTCAAGCAGAAATAGGAATCAGCCAATGTGGGTCATGACCAGGAACCTGGATGCGCTCCATTAGGGCACATCTGTCATAGTAGGAATTGATTGCTGGTCAGCCTCCCCCCAGATAGCTCTTCTTAGAGATCAGGAAGCACATGTTTTATCTTTATATATTCAGCTTTACCCAGACCCTGGTCAACAACCCAAGGACATACAGAGTGCCCTGCTCACAGCCTCAGGCCTGCCTGACCCTGGCCTCACCAGCCACCCCGCCCCCATTTCCAGAGGCTCCTGACTTCCAGCTCCTCTCCCCTATGCAAAGTTGCACACACCTCCAAGACAGCAATACCAAGGCTTCCTCATGTGGCCTTGGTGCCTCTCAGCCAGACCTACATCCACCCTGTGCCAGGGCTCAATTTATGGCCTCAGTTCTAAGGTCACCCTTGCCTGCCTACACTGTGAAAATGATCTGGTCCCTTTGGAAGAGAGGGGTTAAAGATAACTCCAAGCTTTGTCGGCTGGTGTTTCAAATAAGAGATTCCCTTCCACGTGCCTCCTTGCAGGTCCCTGTTTGGGTTCTCCAGAGCCAAGTTCCCTCCCCACAGAGGCTTCTACAGTGCCATGCTCCTGCAACACACAGCAGCAGCCAGTTGCACCAGATGCCAATAGCTGCCCTTGATACCCTCTTGGGCAGTTTCAAAGCCAAGCGCCTCCAGCAAGTTCCCTCTTTGTGAAAAGCCTTCCCCACACCAAAGAAGGTGGATTTCCAGCTCTGAAGATTTCCAGAAAGTTCCACTGGAGTGGCCCCCCCCAGTGACTTCTCTGGCATCCAGTGAGTGACACTCTGCTCTTTCCAGGGAGGTCTAGATCCCAGCCTGTTCCCTTGGGCCCTCCACCATGGCCCGAGGGGTAGGAACCGTTTCTCACATTGTTGCTTCTCTATTTTTTGGAGTTCTCTTTACTTCTCACTGGCCAATGCCTCATAACGCTGACATCCCATATTATTGGTATTAAACACTCCCCATTCAAGTTACTGCGGGGTGCTGTCTCCTGATTGGGCCCTGGCTGACGGATGCATGCCATTGGAATGGCATTGATTCCAACTCTCGAGCTAGATGACAAGGCAATGTTGGGACTCCCAGGCTCTAGTCATCAGATTCCTTCTCATCTTTCTGCCCTACCCCATGGGTGACATCATCATCCGTCTCAGCTTTAAATGCTATGGATAAGCCAGTGACTCCTGAATTTGTGTCTCCAGCCCAGACCTCCCATTAGCTACAAGCTGGTATATGCAACTCACCCACCAACATCTCCCCCTGTGTGTCTAACGGTACTCAAACTAATCATGTCCCCAAACAAGCTCCTCTTCCTGCTTCCCTCTCCAGCTCCTTCCACATTATTGGCAACTCCACTCAGCTGCTTAAGTCAAAAATCCTTGGAGTTATCTTTAACCCCTCTTTCCTCTCATGTTCCCATGTTTAATCTATCCACCAATATCATCAGCTAAGCTTTTAAATAATAGCCAGAATCCAACTGCCTCTCATCACTCCTACAGCGACCACTGAGGCCCAAGTTAGGAACTACTGCAATAGTCTAGGCAAGAGTCAGTGGACTGCATCCAGCTTCTGAAGAGCCTAAAGTCTGAGCTGTCAGGGAAGCAGATACCTCCTTGGCCTTTCCTGCTCCTGCCACCACACGGACTCTGCTAGGCTAGTCATGGGGCTTTGCTGCCCTCTGCTGGCCGCCACCTTCCACAGTGACAGGGCACAGGGAATTTTCAAAGGCTAACATTGTGAAAGGTGAGCTTAGTCTTTCAACTTTTTTTTTTCCCCAACCAAAATTGCACGAAGGACACAGACATAACAACAATGAATATATTTTCTTAAATCTATTCCCTTTCTTACCAGCACTACACAACCCTGTTTCCATCACCTGTGTTTCTCACTTTGTTCCCAAGGGTGCTTTCAAAATCTACAGCCTTGAAGTGCAAGAGTCCTGTGGTTTTCAAACCGGGCGTGCACCTTAGGGCTCAAAGACCAAGGCTTTCCACAAGTGCAATTTCTGCCAAACCTCAAACATCTAAAAAATCTGAGATGTTCATTCATTTACACATGTATACTTCAATTGGTCAGCAAATAAGCAGCAATAAATAAATAAGCAACTACTAAAATAAATAGAATAAAGTAGATCGGAAAAAGATAAGCCAGGCGCAGAATGCCCTAGGATAGGAAAGCAGGTTACTATTTTTAAAAGAGGGCTGCAAGAGGTGATTTTTGAGCAAAGACTCGCAGGAGGCGATGGAGCCTGTCATGTGGATGACAAGTCAGCACCGGGCAGAAGAAAGAATCAGTGCCACAGTCCTGATGGGAGGGCTCCCAGCATGTTCAAGGAGCACTGTGGTTGCTGAGAGTGGGGAATCAGGGGAAGAAGACGAAGTGAGAATGGGCAAGCGACAGGCAGAGCAAGACCTCCTGAGCCATCGTTAGGACAGGGGTGGGGTGTCGAGTCACAGCGGTTTGGAGCAATCTGACTTAATGTATTATGGGGTACCCTCCTGTGCTGGGGATGGAGTCCAGAGGGCGGGGCGAGCAGCCAGCAGGGAGACTAACATGACACGCTTATTTGTTCTAAGAAAATATGCAAGTCACCTTCACTATTCATGGCTTCACATCCATGGAGTGGAGGAAAATTGTGTCTAAACTGAACAACAACTACCTTTTTTTCTTGCTATTCCCTGAACAACACAGTATGACAGACTATTTACATAGCACTTACATTGTACCAGATTTTGTAAGTAATCTAGAGGTGACTTAAAGCATACAGGAGGATATGACAGGTTATAAGCAGACACTACACCATCTTTATGTAAGGGACTTGAGCATCTTTAATTTGGGTATCCTTGGGGTTCCCAGAACCATTTCTCCATGGATACCCAGGGGTGATTTTATAGCTTTATATATTTAGTTTCCTACTAAGATTTAGGAAAATGGTTCTATTGCTAAAATTAAAAGAAGAAATATCTCAAAACCATTAATTAATACAGTTGAATTCTGAAATTAGAAGCTCTGAGAAAAAGACAAGCCACCAGGGACAGTGACCACAGGGAGGAAGATGCACAGAGTCTGGGAGGAAAGTGAGTTTCCTGGGGTTCCTGGTGGGGAAGCCCTGAGAAGAAAGAAAGGGGGGCAGGCCACGGAGCCCTTGGCCAGCCGGAAGAGGAACCACCCTATGACACAGAGAAGCAGCTGTCCATTCAGCCAAGTTCTTACAGCTCTGACCCTCATCCCTCCCACACCGAGTCTCTGAATCATACCCAAGCCTCCAAATGCCAAAGAAAGGGTCATGGTGCTATGATGCCCCTTCAAGAGCCATGTCCCACTGGAGGCAGGTGGCATTGATTTGCATGCATAATGAAAGTGTGGTCCACAGCATGAGGGCCCACTGTGAACCAGATGTACAGGAAGCCATCAAGCCCCTGCTTGGGACAGGGCTTGTCTATGGGGAGCTCATCAGCATCCACTCGGGAGAACCAGCCAGCCAGGAAGGATAGAATAACCCAAGCAGATACAAATACAAAACTGGGAGGGTTTGCGGTGGCTCTAAGGATAGGCAGAAGGTATTTGTGCTCTCCTGCCTTTTGACAAATCCAGGAAGTCTTCCTGGAGGTGGTGATGGGGAATGTCAGACATAGTAGAAAGAGCAGAGGGGAAGGGAGGTAATGAGTCCCTGGTGACTAAGGCATCCCAGCTTCAGTCAAACAAAGGAGGAGGATGGACCAGCATGGGTGGGGCTGAGGCATGAGTTGCAAGGCCTCTAAGGAAGCCCCTGGGAGTATGCTTAGTGGACCGGGGCAGGTTCCTAAAGGATCTTAGAAATTACCAGGGGCTCCTGGGTGGGGCAAAGAACTGCTCTCTCCCAATTAGCTCTTGAAGGCTTCCTGGAAGAAGAGTCCTCTGAGGAGCATTTTAAATCATGGAAGGGTCATGGACTCCAGTAGACATTCTGGCACTGGGTGGGGGCCTCCAAAGTTAGGGGCCAGCACGGGGCAGGACCAAAGAGGGTGATGCGTGACTGCATCGAGCTCAAGAGTGTGCAGAGGAGGATAATTGGGAGTTACCTGAGAAGCCCAGAGAGGGCATTTTAGGAGACACCAGGAGAAGAAATCCCAGCCGCCCTCTAATTAGTTCATTAAGACTTCCTGGAAGAGGTGGCTGCTCTGGAACATTCCAGACAAAGGTGTGCCTGGAGAGAAGTCTAAGAGATAGAGAGAGGGGTGCAGTGCAGGAATCAGCAGGATATAGGGGGGCAGAGATGATGAGACCAGTAAAAGGAGGGAGGCCTCCCACCCCACCCACAAAAGATCCTGACTCTCAGGATAGGGCCTGGTCCCCCAGAGTGTGTGGCTGATAGGAAGAGCTGGGCATGGGCTCAGGACGCCCTGCCCCTCCAGAGGGTAGAACCGTACAGCCAAGGCCAGGCCCCTCCAGGGCAGTTGTTCCAGGCTGACTTGGCCTGTGAGCTCTCACTTGCTCTGGCCTACATGGGACCAGCCAGGAGGAGTCAGCCACCCTCCCCTCTCCCCAGCACAGTCCTCCATCTTTTCCACAGCAAGTTTGGGGAAGACAAAGCAACTGACATAAAACCTCCATTCAGACAGAGCTTCCCCTTCCTGCTGCCTCTGAGGAGAGCAGGGTTGGGTCTGACTCCACCATCTGAGCAAACGGAGGCGAGCAGAGGCTTCTACAAGTTGGGGTGATGAGATTTCAAGGCGCCCCTACCTCCTGCTTACCAGGTCCTCCTCCCCAATCCCTCTTGTCCATAGCACATGACCCCAGGTCTCCAAGACACCTGGGCAGTGAACTCCTGTTCAGGACACTGAGAATAACAACCCAGGGACCCCGCCCAGGGGTGAGGCTGGGAGTCATCTCCTGAGCTCCCCCCAAGACAGTCTTCTCCCTCTGCCCCCAGACTCCACCCCAAATTTTTATACGAGTGAAATCAGGCTAAAGAAAACATTAAACACAATCTTGAAAGGGTAAAGAAGTCATAAATGTACAGGGGAGGTAAAGACCCTGGGTGGGGCCACTATGCTGGGGAGGGAGGGGGCTGATTCTGACCGGAAGCAATGATCCCTTTCCTTATACAGAGTTTTATGACACCTAGAGAACATTTTCACATATTAGCCACTTAACTCTCCCAACAACCTTGGAGGGTAAGAATAAATCCCACTTTACAGTAAAAGAAACAGAGGCTCAAAGAGGTTAAGTGCTTCCCCAAAGCCACATAGCTAGGACTTGAACCAGGTCTTTCAACTTTGACTCCATTGCCCAAGTTACTAACCCCAGATGTTTCTCCTCAACCCACTTCCAAAGACCTCTCTACCTTCCCTGAAGAACAGGGGTAAGACATGGGGTAGGAGTGTCAGTATGATTTTAGATGGACACCTAAGGTGGCTGGCCATGAACATCAGGATAGAATGCAGGGTACCCTACAGAGGATGTCGGGGGATGGCAGTGGCAGAGTTTGGTTCTGAAAGGCCCCTAAAGGAGGAGTCACCCTCTGAGGAAGTTCATCAGATCTTCTTTCCTAAGTTCCTAACACCTCAGGTCACTGACTAGCCTCCCCAGGGGCAGAGACCACATCTTCAAGGTTCGTGCTGTTAAAAGGATAGCAATCAATATCCTAATATTTGGCCCAAGGACACGCAGGGACATAAACAGCCAAGACTCTCAGAGCCCCCCTAGAGCCAAAAATTATAGGGTCCTGAGACAAGTGTAGAGCAGTCTCTAAGCATTCCTCTAAGAGGGACAACCAGGGCTGGTGAACTGAATGAGCTCCCCTCCTCTGGCTGGTGGTCAGAAGGAGGGGAGACTCACAGGATTTGTTTCTTCTTCCAGAGCAAAGAGAAGGTGCCCAGAGCAATTTGTAGCCACCAGATAATCTCAGGATTGGGTTCTCCACTCCATTGGGCCACAGAGAAGAAAGTGGCTGAAGGGGAGTCTCCCCATTATCCACAAGTGGTCATTATTGTGGCCACTGAGAGTTGAGTGGTTTGCATTTTTGCTTAGAGAGAAATAAAGACCCTGAAACAGAGCCCTCTGGGCTGAAATCCAGAAGATTCCAAAGGATGGTCCCCTGCAGCCTCTGTACTGGAGGGAACATGGTCAAAAACACCCCTCTGGTCCTGAACTACCTTCCAGTCAATGCTGCGGGGGTGCATGTAGACACTCCTGACCTATCAGTTCCTGAGATAGTGATTTACCAGAGAATGTGCCTTACCACAATTGGGTGGAAGCAATGGCTCCCCAGGGCTCACCGAACCAGAGACCCCAAAAACTCTCCCTTGAGATGATGGCCCTGCCTATAACCCAAACCCATCCACCCCCAGACTGTTGTGGAGTTCAACTCCGTCTCCAAGTGTGGGTTGGGGCCATCTCACAGAGAGACTGCGAGAAAATTAATTACTTAATGTGTGTAAACGAGCTTTGAAGATGAAAAGTGCAAACGTACAGTGTCCCTAATAACATCTTCAATACTTTTACGGTGCCGGAATCACTGCTGAGCTCACCTTTAAGATGAGTCCTTGGGAGTTGCTGGAAAATTCCCCAAGCCAATAAACAACATAAAATGGCTTTTCACTCCTTTTATGCAGCCAACCCCAGCTCTCCCCACCAATAAAAGGACCAGGGAGGATCAGAGAGACCAGAAGGATCCTCAGCCTCAGCTCCACAGCCTGCACTGACTTTCACAGCCGCTCACACTCTGCTCAGACTCCCACGATGTCCTGCCGCTCCTACAGGATCAGCTCAGGATGTGGGGTCACCAGGAACTTCAGCTCCTGCTCAGCTGTGGCCCCCAAAACTGGCAACCGCTGCTGCATCAGTGCCACCCCCTACCGGGGAGTGTCCTGCTACCGGGGGCTCACGGGCTTCAGCAGCCGCAGCCTTGGTAACCTGGGCTCCTGCGGACCCCGCATGGCCATTGGGGGCTTCCGCTCTGGGTCCTGCGGCCGCAGCTTCGGCTACCGCTCCGGCGGCGTGTGCGGACCCAGCGCTCCCTGCATCACCACCGTGTCGGTCAACGAGAGCCTGCTCACGCCCCTCAACCTGGAGATCGACCCCAACGCGCAATGCGTGAAGCATGAGGAGAAAGAGCAGATCAAGTGCCTCAACAGCAAGTTCGCTGCCTTCATCGACAAGGTCAGTTTTGAGGCCTATGATGGTGCAGAGAAGACCTCAGCCCTGCCCTCCCTCGAAAAGTCTGCTGGGGAGACAGGCTGGCTGCCAGGTTGGAAACCGCAGAGGGAAAGAAACGCAGACCAATTCAGGTAGAAGGATCCATCTCCATCACTTTGTTCCAGCCAAGTTTATGAGGTCCAGGTGTGGTCTAGAAACTGTGTCTGTGGTGGTCAGGCTGTGTGGGCTTCTGCAGCCAAGAGAATGGCAGTCACAGAGCTGTCCTTAAAAAACTGGACTTGGGCCCTGAGTGTGGGAAGAGCAGGAGATAAAGAGGAGAATAAAAGGCATCATGGTGCATGGCCCAATGGCATGTGAAGTGATGGGCACCACTCAGGGCACACTGCCTCCCCCAAGAACTTGCTGTGCCAGTCAGCAGTGTGAGGCCCCAGACAGGTTATATGTCTGGATAACAGGTCCATCCTCCTCAGCTCGTTAGGAGGACTGATGAGCTCCTGCATAGAAAATGCTGGCAAATAGTCCAGGCTCAATAACTGCTCGCTGTTATTATTAGTTTCCAAAGACAGTAGTGGGTGAGTGACAGTTAACTAACCCAAGCTTGGCAGCCTCTTCACGGATGGAGTGCTGCAATGGAGACTGGAGGGAGACGGGAAGCCACCTTCCCGCCCAGCAGAAGGATCAGGTTTGGGGTTCTGGGGCAAAGGGGTGACCTTCCTGTTTTTCTTTAGAGATCTTAGTTAATCCTGAAAATAACCCACTGGAGTATTATAATAACAAATAGGAGCTGAGAGAGTTTAGATAAGCTGCTAGATAGACATACTGGGGTAGGCAGGTGAAGACAGTGGACAGGGATGCAAGGGACATTGAGTCCTCATTCCATCACTTGCCATGAGCTGGTCATTTCACACCTTGGGAGTCTCAGTTTCCCCATTTGTGATATGGGCAAGACAAGGTCTACCCCTGCAGGACTGTGATAATCCACAGGGTATCAAATGACAGATGACATAGATACAAAGATGTGTGTGTCCCAGTGCAGGCCCTGGAACCACATAGTGAGTATTTGTTGCAATTAAGTGTTTGTTGCATAAATTAAGTGTCTGTTGCATAAATGAATAAAAGGAAAACTGGTAATTATAATAGTTAAATTGGCTGAGCACTTAATACATGTCAGGGGCTGTTCTAAGAACTTTACATGTATTAACTGGTTCAATCTTCACAGCTCCATCAGCTATTAGCTCTGTGTTAGAAATGAGAAAACCTAATACCAAAAAGTTTTAAAACTTGCCCACTTAAAGTGGCAGAAAGTTTAACCAGAACTTTGGCTTTGAGCCAAGCCTAGGTCAATCAAGTGACTCCCTTAAGTGCTGGGAACAGGGTCCCTTGAGCCTCAGATACTCAACTGCATGGCTCAACCCTATTCAGCTTCCAGCATCCAAGAGCAGAGAGCTCTAGGTACCAGACACCTCCCCAGTTCCCCGCCCTGAGTCTCTTTCTTTCTCCCAAATGGCAGGTGCGCTTCCTGGAGCAGCAGAACAAACTGCTGGAGACCAAGTGGCAGTTCTACCAGAACCAGCGCTGCTGTGAGAGCAACCTGGAGCCCCTGTTTGCTGGCTACATTGAGACCCTGAGGCGGGAGGCTGAGTGTGTGGAGGCTGACAGTGGGAGGCTGGCCTCGGAGCTCAACCACGTGCAGGAGGTGCTGGAGGGCTACAAGAAGAAGTGAGTGCCTATGCCCAGGGCAACTCAAAGGGAAATCTAGAAGGTTCTGTCCACGAGCCCTGTGTAACAGTTTCTTAAAGATTCCCTTAACAAGACTTCCTGGGACCCAGCGGGGCTGAGCGGTGAGACTTAGATTTCCCCAAATTCCTGGGCTCCCCCTCAACCCCTAGGAGGCCCTGTGAGTCTTGGAATTAATCTCCAGGGAAGTAAATAAAGGAAGCCCAGAGAGTCCTACAGCCGTCATCGCTTCCCTTTCTGATGCAGGCTTCGTGCTCTCCTGACAGTAACACTCGCTCTCTTTGGATCCAGGATGCACAAACATTAGGCTTGGGGGTGGAATGTGCATTCCTGATCTCATTCCAGAAGCAGAGGACTTGGGTGAAATGAAGCCAGGCTGGGACAGAGCTAGCCATGAACCATGTACTAATAGATGACAGAGAAGACAAGATAATACCTGAAGAGGGTTCATTCCTTTTCAACCCCTGGAAGAGCTTGGTCAGGAGCTGAATAGACCTCTCAGCCCCAGCCTTTCTCTCTCACTCCAGGTATGAAGAGGAAGTGGCTCTGAGAGCCACAGCTGAGAACGAGTTTGTGGTTCTAAAGAAGGTAAGGGGGCTGGTTGCAGGGGAGGGAGGGATGGAAGGGGACCCATCTGTGCAACCTCCAGCACTGGGCACAGAACCACACTGACTCAAGGTCCTTCCTTTGGCCTCCTTCCCCCACCTCCTCTTTGTTCAAATGCCAGGATGTGGACTGCGCCTACCTGCGGAAATCAGACCTGGAGGCCAACGTGGAGGCCCTGGTGGAGGAATCTAGCTTCCTGAAGCGCCTCTACGAAGAGGTGAGGGCACCTGCCAACCAGCCAGGGCTGTTGGAAGGGAGGTTGCAAGACTGGGGGAGCTGGGGTAGGGTGCGTATGCATGTGGTGTTTCCAAGTGAAAAGAACAAGGGCACCCATGTGAGAGGGGACCAGGGTAGGGTGTGGTATGTGGGGTGTATGTGCCTGGGCCACATCTGTGTTCATATGTATGAGAACAATGGAGTGTATGTGTGTGCATAGCTTCCGGGGTCTATGAGCACCCCTGTGGGTTGGAGTGTCATGTCTACACTGGTCGGTGGAGTGTTGGTCTATGATTAAATATAGAGGTATATGTGGGGTGGGGGTTCCCACATAGGAAGGGGCCTTAACTAGTGGACTAATCACTCCCCTGGGCACCACAACCTGCTCCCCTACTGGGTAACAGGCCTATTTTACACTCTGGGCCCTGGTTTTCCCATGGTGAGGTCAGAGGCTGTTCTGACATGATGTCTAGGGCCCTTTCCAGCCTTGTTGTTTTATATGTGTGGATGGGGGTGGTAGCAGAAGGAGAAGGTAAACGGCATTCCTGATCAGCCCCCCCGCCCAAGAGCGAGCCTGGTTCCCTGGGGGAGCACACAGCCAGGGTCAGGCACCAGACCCAAATGCACTGCCTGTTGGCCCCACAGGAGATCCGCGTTCTCCAAGCCCACATCTCAGATACCTCAGTCATTGTCAAGATGGACAACAGCCGTGACCTGAACATGGACTGCGTTGTGGCTGAGATCAAGGCTCAGTATGATGATGTTGCCAGTCGCAGTCGGGCTGAGGCTGAGTCCTGGTACCGCACCAAGGTGAGTGACTTAGGACACCTGCCTCCTTGACAAGGCAGTGGGAGGAAAGTGAACTGCCTATTAGAAAAGGCTTCTTTTACTTGAAGGATGGTAAGAGATGGTAAGGGTTGACAGCTGTCAGGTTGGGTGCAGGGCCAAGCTGCCAAGGCTGAGCACTGTACCACCTGTCAGGCATCCTTGGTATCCCGAGAGGGGGGGATTCCCATGCTGAGCCTCATGAGCATTTTTGCTTTCCCCAGTGCGAGGAGATGAAGGCCACGGTGATCCGGCACGGGGAGACCCTGCGCCGCACTAAGGAGGAGATCAATGAGCTGAACCGCATCATCCAGAGGCTGACGGCTGAGATTGAGAATGCCAAGTGCCAGGTAGGTTACAGGGAATACTCAAGCACTCAGCACAAGCAGGCTACAATGCCAGGTCCTTTGCCTCCAGGAGGAAGCAAGGACCCAGAGAGAGGGAAGGGGCTCCCCCATACTGCACAGCACTCTGGCTGGGATGAGCAGGCCACTGACTTCCAAAAGAGGCACCCTGCATCCGTGGGAAGGTGAAAGCACACCCCACTCCTCCATCATGTTCCAGCCTATGAACTACCTGGTCGTGGCCCCGACCTTTTCTGCAGGTCTTCCCTCTCCCTGCCCTAGCCTCATGAGCTCAGGCGAGGCAAGCTGAGCCTTCTCTCTCAGCCTTGCCTCACATCTCCACCCCATAGCGTGCCAAGCTGGAAGCCGCTGTGGCCGAGGCAGAGCAGCAGGGCGAGGCGGCCCTGAGCGACGCCCGCTGCAAGCTGGCTGAGCTGGAGGGCGCCCTGCAGAAGGCCAAGCAGGACATGGCCTGCCTGCTCAAGGAGTACCAGGAGGTGATGAACTCCAAGCTGGGCCTGGACATCGAGATCGCCACCTACAGGCGCCTGCTGGAGGGCGAGGAGCACAGGTGAGTCCCAGAAAGACCTTATGGGCTTAGAAGGGGAAGGCCTGTCTACAGCTATACTGCCCTGAGTGTGCCCAGGCCTGGGGCAAGCAGAGTCAGGCCTGAGGAGCACTTGAATGGGACAAGGTGGAGGCCCTGGTCTCCCAGAGCGAACTGTCCTGGGTCCAAGTGTGACCCATAACTGACCAGGGTAGTACTGGGCTTTAATAGTATCTAATAGTATCTTTAATAGTATGCTTGCTCGGTGTCAAGCACTCACTTTATAACCGTCACCATCCAATGAGGTGGGTCTCATTTTTTCCATCCAAAGACAAAGAAGTAGGCTCGGAGTTCAGCGCCTTTCCCATGGCCATACAGCAGCTCAGCCCAGCTGGGACCTGCACCTAAGTCACGTGCCTCTAAAACCCATTATTGTGGCAAAGCTTCCTCAGATGGCTGCTCGGGGCTTGATCACACAATGATGCACCCCCACATAGCTCTGCACCACCCCAAAAGCTCTTCAACACACTAGAGCACTGGATTCTGCTCTGCCAAGAGCTCCCTTAGAAAACCCGGTGCTGGGGGGGGGGGGCGGGGGGGCACGGGCATCTGATTGGAGGCAGCAAGAGAAGGTCTTCTCTTAACCACCACCACCCGCACTCAGGCTAAAAGAGGAGCTGGTCTCTATGGAGGGAGAGCCATTAAAGAGAGTGAGATTTGGGGGACCCCCTCAGGAACAGACTCTGTACACAGGACACAGGATGACTTTCTGTCCCCAGGCAACCGTGGGTCTCAAGAATTCTACTCAGTGCCTAGAACTCATGGAGTTTTCTTTCCCCCCAGGCTGTGCGAGGGTGTGGGCTCCGTGAATGTCTGTAAGTATTGCTTGAAACTCCCCAGAAAAGTGGCTTTGTGATGGGCAAAGGTGAACCCGTTGGCCTAAGCCAGTGAACCTCAATTGTCCCCCACTGAGAGAGGACCTCTTCTCTCCCCTGGCTTCTCACCAAAGACCAGTAAGGGAAGAACAGAACCAGAGCTGAGTCCCTTTATGGGTGGCCTTAGTGAGCTGCAGGCTTGGAAAAGGGTCCAGGAGTCCTCGCTTCCTTCCCGATGAGCTGAGAGGAACTGGGCCCCGCCATTGACCACTAGCCCCCTTGAGGAGTGCTCTGGACCCATCTTGGGGTGGACTAGATGATCACAGCAAGCCCCTCACCCCTCCGTGTCTCCTTGTCCCACAGGTGTCAGCAGTTCCCGTGGTGGAGTCACCTGTGGGGGCCTCTCATATAGCACCACCCCTGGGCGCCAGATCACCTCTGGGCCCTCAGCCACCGGGGGCAGCATCACAGTAATGGCCCCCGACTCCTGCAGCCCCTGCCAGCCCCGCTCCTCCAGCTTCAGCTGCGCGAGCAGCCGCTCAGTCCGCTTTGCGTAGTGTGGGGGCCTCCTGCCAAGCCGCCTGCCCCACCGGTGTCCACCCCAGCACTGAATGATGTGTGAATGGAAAATGTGTGCTTGCTTCCAGAATCTCCCAGATGTTCCTAGAGAGGGAAAAACCCCTGGGCCGCTTTCCTCCACCTTCTTGTTTTAGGGAGCTGTTTCCTAGTTCTCCTCTTGGCTTCAGTTTTAGAGGGCCATTCCTAGCCCTCACCTAACTCCAGCTAGCTCCAAATACCTGTGGCCAATTTGAATTATTCACCAAGCTCTCTGGGACACTACCAGTCACCTGACTGCACTTGGGTGCCCAATTCCACTTGGTCCTCCTCAGACCCTGTAGGGCTGGACAGCATGGAAGCTGAGCCTTCCCCTGGGTCAAGGCATGATCCTAACCACCCAGCCAGGCCTCCCGCAACCAGAGGAGGCCCCACTCCCAGCACTCCCTATACTGCCAGCAAGAATGGCCTCTGGGCAAGACCCTGCCTGTTTATTCTTTATTGTGTTTTGCTTGTCTCTCTGGCTGACTGTTCTTCTGGGTTAACCTGCTCCAGCCAGACTCCTCCTGTGACCTCCCAGTGGAGAGGCCCATTATGGTGGAAATCCTTTTGCCTGTAACCCCTGGTTAGGGGACTTTGGACAGGTCTTGCTATTCAGTGCACCTTTATACATTTCAAAGGCTCCATGTTTGCTCCAGATCTCCCCCTGCCCAGAGAAAAAGGGGATTGTCCAATGCAGAGTTGGTCAGATGGAGAAGGTTAGGTCACTTCCTGGGTCCCCTCTGGTTATGACTGTCTGTGGGTGCCATGCCTTCTGGGTTGTCTCAATCTATGTTTCAATAAATGCTGCTGCAATGCAAGAAGGGTATGTGATCTTGTAAGCTACAGAATCTCTGCTCCCTTCTTGCCCCAGGACCAGCCAACCAATCCCAGTCCAGCCCCACTCAGGATTCCTCCTGTTGCCACCATTCCCATGACTATGCCTCTTCCTGTCCACTTCCACTGCCCGACTCCACTTGGTCCTCCTCAGTCCCTGTAGGCCTGGACCACAGCCCCAGCACCCCTATACCTATAACCCCTCTCAGAAGCCACAACCCTATCCCCTTTGCCAGTTTTAGATGACTTCCCAACACAGGTGTACCTCTTAAACCAGTGGCGACTCCCTCCCTTTCCTTTTTCCCCACTTACTCCTCAGCCACGTCCAAGCCCTCTGCCCAGGGCAGATCCTTCCAGACCTGGACCTGCCCGCAGTGAGGCAAGTCCACCCTCTGAGGCTCCTGGGACCGCTCTCTTCACCTCCACGTGGGCCAGCCCATGCCCCTCCTCTAGCTGGTCTTTTCTCAGGACTCTCCTCTGCTCCCTGCCTGCCAGCCCTCCCCTCACCACACACATCCCCTCCCAGCCCCAAGATGAGATCTCTTATTCTGTCTCCCAGCTCTTCTGGGTTCATAGCTTCTAGGCACTCAGGCTGCCACTGCATTTGACGTTCATGGGTCACCCAGGCAGGCCTCCTCCGACTTTTGCCTGTCCTTCTTCTTTCTCCTGGCTCTCTTGTCCCTGAGGGCATGCTTACAATTTAGGGTATATCATTGTCCACAGGAAAGGTTAACTTTCAAAGGCTAAAGTGTCAGGAGATAGAGATTTGAGCCCCAATTCTGCCAGTACTGCCAGGTTTCAGAGATTCTCTCACAATTTGGGCATCATTCTGGGGGACTGTGAGAGGAGAGGGTTAAGGTCTTTCCAGCCCAGCCACCTCCTTCGGATCTGGAATGCTGGAGTGAGCACATGCTTAGGGAAAACAACTATGTCACCGTGGATCAAGAAAAACTAAAATGCTAGATTTGATAACCAAAATATATGAAACCATGCACTAAAAAGTCAAATAGAGGGCTGGGGATATAGGTCAGTTGGTAGAGTGCTTGCCTCACATGCATAAGGCCCTGGGTTCAATCCTTAGCAACACACACACACACACACAAAGAACCACACAAAGTTAAATTGATGGATCTGGAAGATGTTAATAAGCTTTTTAATACATTTACATGCTTGGTATACAGATGAGGCAACTGATTCAGTCAGAGCGCACTCTTCTAGGTTCAGGCTCTGGGGTTCCTGCATCTCTCTCCCTGTAAAAGCTTTGTTCCCTGAGGGAGGCGACAGGAATGATCCAAGTAACTAAGGATTGAAGTTTAATTAGAAATGAAATGTTTGCAGTCACGTGATCTGACATTGAGAGATTAAGGAAAAGTCAGAAGAGAAGCAGCCCCAGTAAAGGACTGTCTGTGGGAGTGAGTCTAGATCTCTTTCCTAGGCTCTCTTTTCCTTTGAAACATCACAAACCAAGCTAACATCTTCATCAGAGGAAATCTCATCTTTGTCTGAAATCAATTCTTATTTAAATATTCAATGTTTTCCCCAAACACAAAGTTTCCAAATATTTGAAAAGTATGGATTATAACCCTTCCAAATCTACAGACAAATTTGAGCTTGGTCATCTCCCTCCTAAAGCACTAACACTCCCCCACCAAGTCTCAGTTCCCCTCTGCCTCGGCTGTCCTCACCAACACTCCCAAGATGGCTCCTTCTCCTGGCCCCAGGGTCTTGGATTGGTGCTTGCTTCAATTTTTGAGATCTCAGGAAATGTGACTTTTTAGTACTCACCTAACCCAAGCATCATGAGAAACACAAATTAAGCACATTATTGAGGAAATTACAAAGTGTGTTCCACATGGACATGGAAATGACCATCTAGGAATTACCCCTTATCTGGACTCTTCACATCACTACTGCTTTCTGGAAACAAAGACATTAGAGGGTGTTTTGTTTATTGAAGATTATAGCAACTAGGACATTAACACTAAGCTCTGCTGTTCTTGGATATGGGTATCTATCTGGAAGAACCAGCAATGGAAGAAGGCTTAGTTCACACTGCCTTGTGCTACTTTTCTCCTCCTCAAATCTCACTAGACACTTTTGTGCCCCTGGAAATGCCTGAGCATTTTTGCTTTGTTCAAATACCAAGAGATCCATTCAGGAGTGGTAGTGCATATCTATAATCCCAGCAATTCAGAAGGCTGAGGCAGGAGGATTGCAAGTTTGAGGCCAGCCTCAGTTATCTGCTGAGACTTTAAGCAACTTAGCAAGACAAAAAAGTCTATGGATGTGGCTCAGTGGTAGAGCATCCCTGGGTTCAATCCCCAATACCAAAAAAAAAAAAAAAAAGCAAAAGAGAGCGAGATCTCCAATGTGTCCACCGTAATTCACTGCTTCTGGGCAGTGATGGTGAAAAGTGATCAGTCAGGAAATGGAATAGAAATGGAATAGAGTAGGGGCCATGTGGGGAGCCACCTGTGAGCTACTTGAGGGGTCTTCACTCCATACCAAGCCATGGAGACTTAGGTTTTTCCCTTGGGAACTATCCCAGCTCTCCCATGTGCATCAGATCACCCAAGGCATGAGGTCTCTGTCTTCACTCTACTAGAGACAGCTCTCGTAGCTCCGGAGTTGGGTGTAACCCATTGGGAACTGTCTGCCCACCTCCTTCCTTTGTCAAACAACATTCCATGGAAAACCTTGATGTTTCCCCATATAAATAAAGCAAGCGTGGACTCCCTCTCTCTTTCTAGTGTGGAAGCTTGCTCCCCAAGATCTTCCCGCCATCCTGCCCTCGCTTTTCAAAAATTACTTTCTGTGCCCTGTGGCTTTGTCACCGCCTTCTCTTTCTTAGCTTTTATTCTACAGCCAGCCCACTTCACCAAGAGGAGCCCCAGTTCCGTCGCCTGCATGGGACGTGGGTGAGAGGGCAGCACACAAAGAATAAGCTTATACATTAAAAATGAAGGAAACACCCAAAGCACAAATTGGTAAATACACACCGTCCATGACGATTACTGCCATTGCCACTACCATCACCATCACCACCACTATTACCATCACCCCTACCACCACCATCACAATCACCATCACCATCACCTCTACCACCATCACCATCACCACTACCATCACCACCACCATCATCAAAAAGGAAACACAGACCCTTTCCCGTTCATGATCCTTCACTCCAGGACAGCAAGTGTTCTATGGGACTCAGAGCTACTCGAGTGGCCCTTTCAACCTGATTTTGCCCCTACCCCAAACCTGGTGGGATTCAGAACATGATATAGCCCCCTGTGAGACCCTCTTGGTGCCGGAGGCAAAAGAAAATTGGAGCACTAACCTGCTGAGAAAGACCCTAGTCCTCTTGGGTCAAAGCACTGAGAAGGGCTCAGAAAACAACACTCCAAAGAGCGCCCCCTGACATGCTGAACTTGAGAAACAGACTTGGAATCAAAGTCTCTGTGTCCTTCTCCCCCACCCCCACAGTCCCTTGATCATCTTCTTCTCCCCTATCTGGCAGAGGAAACTTCTTTCAAAAGAAATGCAGCTTTCTTAAGCCCCCTCAGTAGAATTCTCATCAAATAACCAGGAAAAATTAACCCCCAGAAAAGAGTAAAAACTCAAAGTCACCAATGCACAGACTTTTCATCTATTCTTCTAAAAGTAACTCTGAGAGAGCACTGAGGACATTTTATCTACGTAATACGACAACATCTGTTTGAAGTACATTTTTTCCCTTCACCTTCCCGTAACTTGTTGCCACCTCCCAGGAACCTCAAGCCCCTATTTCTTTCTGTAGCTCAAAATGCTGCTGAAGCTTCAACCATCTGGTCCTTTATTTGAGTCTCGATTTTGTCTGTGTCTCCCATACACATTTTCACATTAATAAATCATATGAATTTTCTCTTATTAACCTGTCCATTGTCAGTTCATCTAAGCAGACTCAGTCAGAACCTTCAGAGGGAAATTGTGAACTTTCTTACAATAACCTGATCAATGAGGACCCTGGAGACATGATCCAAAGATGTCAGCGGGATTGCATTGCCCAGGAGTACTTTCAAAGGTTTTTCTGTCTTGAGATCGAATATGTATTCTTGTGGCAAAATATCTTCTACCCAGCCAGGTTTATATAAATCTTTAAAAAAAAATAGGTTCTTATTTTTCTACATGTACAGATTGCAGGATCACATTGGTTATACAGCCACGTTTATACATACAACCATACTAGTCGAATCGAATGTATGATATGTCAAGATCATTGTAATGCTTTGAGCAACTAATAAAAAAAAATAGGTTCCAAATTAAATAAGGAGAGAAAAGCAGAGTTCTTCCAATACAAGAAGAGAAACAAAGTTTCCCATCTGAGATCCCTCTCATCAACACGTCATATCCAGTGTTGGTCACCCTGGACAAGAGGAGGCTCTGTGCAGTCTTCCCCAGGTGACACTTCCTGGGGACTCTCAGCTCAGGAATGGGCCAGAAGCAGAGTTCACCCTGGACCTCAGTCCAAGCCATCGGGGAACTACCTACTAAAAAGGAATTATCCCTACCCAAAAGGCCTGCCTTAAATGCACTATTGTAAGATCCATCCAGAATTCTTAGAGAACAGAGTCCATGGGGAGATGTTTGTACAAAGCTTCCAAGATGCCCTCCATGTCCCCTTTCATTTCTTATCCCTGAAGTATCAACAACTAGTCAGGTAGAATCCCTTGCCCAGGAGTACCTGATGAGCCAGAATGTTGACCCTGCAGGAACAATTAGAGAATTCAGTGGAAAGGTATCTGAACTTCGCATTCCCTAAATGGGGTTTGGATCCTGGACCAAAAGTATGACCTTAATAAAGTCACTTCTTTGTGCCTTAATTTCCTTATCTAGAAAATAGAATAATAATACTGTTGCTGTGAGGAATGAATGAAATATGTACATAATGTGCCGGATGCTTAGTAGATGCTTTATGAACAGAGGTTCCCCTTACCCACACCCCATTCTGGTGTGTGTGGCCCAGGCTGTGGCTCTGACCTTTCAGCAAAGTCAAAGGAAGAACACAGAGGGAGTAACTCATTTCGCCTGCAGAATCGGAGGAAAACTCACCATAACCAGAATTATCTGACCCTCTTCTTCCCTCTGCCCATATGAACCAGTGATCCTCAAACTTTAATTGGCACAGCAATATTCCAGGAGCATGTAAAAATCCAGATTTCTGGGCTCATCCCTAGAGTTGTTGAGTCATAGTCTAGATGGAGCCCAGAACCCACAGGGATACTGATGTGAATGGTCATCCCTGGAACATATCCTGACAAGCACCAAAACAATCAGGACTCTGGATGGGTGAGGAAACGATGAAGGAGGCTGGCACTCGGTTGCTAGGAGACAGCTTTTTGTGTGTGTGTGTGTGTGGTGCTGGGGATTGAACCCAGGGCCTTGTGCATTCAAGACAAGCACTCTACCAACTGAGCTATATCCCCAGCCCCAGGAGATAGCCTTTTGCCACTGACATTTAATCAAGCACACAAGAAGAAATAAGGAGTCCTGTGGAAAACTCATGTGCAAACACAACAGGATGTCAAAGAATCAACAGTACACACTCAGCTGATGAGCCTCAGCCAATCATTTATTTCTGATATATGAATACATAAGAGGCCCAGTAAGGGGCTCAGGGAACATCCAATCTCTCAGATCAAGTGAGAGGCTTCCCTGTAACCCTAGTCCCACATCCCCCAATACCCCTACCATGTGAGGCAGCATCTGCAGCCCCTCTTATCTGAGGGCAGAGCATGAGGACTCTCCCATATGCTAAGCATGCTTCTACCTACCTCCCTGCCAAACCCAAGGTTTACAATTGATGAATAATCACAACTCTAATAAGAAGGAAACTGGAGAATTACTTCTATACTCCTGAAATGGAAAGTTATTAAACTGACATTTGGGCCATAAGAAAAAAGACTTGCCCCTCGAAACCCAGTGCCCCCCAGAGACCCAATCCATCCAGAGACCCACACCCGTCTATGCAAACCGCATAGATCTTGCACTTGAACAGGCCCCCACTACAGAAGGGGAGCACAAGGCACCTCCACCGATGGCCATGCCCCCTAGGCCACGAGAGACAGTGGAACTGAGGTCCCCGCAGACCACGCCACCGTGGGAACGGCTTACACCTGTGGACAGAAACACCAGGTCAGAAGTCTCTTCTATCCCAGACATGGTATGACCCAGAATCTTTTATAACCTGTGATTAATTCTCTTCATGCTCTGAGGGACCAGCAACATAAGTCTTAGGCAAACCTAAAGCCACTACAATCTGCTTCTTACAGGAATGTGATATGCAAATTGGACTCCTCACTCTATTTGGACCAGACTGGAGTTAAGATGTATTCATGCAAAACCTGATGGATCACACTAAATGAATCATCTAGAAATATGGTTGCTGGAAAGGTGGACAAAACAAATGGGTCAGAAATAGGTACCTGGCCTGGTAGGGTATATACAGCAGAAAAAAAATCAAGCTACCTACAGAGGCCCCAAATGATCAAAATATAAATCTAGCATTTTTTTCACATGAGACCACATGAGGAGTCACCCATGTATAACAGAAGGGCTTAGGCTATTTTGTAGAACCAATTAGAGGGATCAGAACTTATCATATTCATGGATATTCCAGATGGGTCCATGTTGGGGACAAATATTTTGACTATATCTCAGGGACTTCAGCTCTGGTCTCCCTCATCCAAACAGAGGTTCAATCCCCAGTTAGATGTACCCTGATATGAAGACTGACACCTAAGAAAGCCATCCCCCACAACCACACACCCACCCCACAACTAACTTACAGATGTTGACTGATCCCACGCCTTCACACAACCTGCAGGTAAAAGAAAGAGGGAGCTATTAGAGCCAAGTTCCTTTGCTTTTGCACTATACTGGTATTATTTTAGCTTAGCCACCACCTGGCTGTGATCTTGAGCAAGCCCCTTCCCTACTCTGGATCTCAGTTTTCCTGTCTACAAAATGGGAAAATGGATAAACTCAATGATCAGTTTGAGCTGATCCCAGTTTGAACATTCTCTGCCTGGAGAATTCCAGTCCTGGGAGGCACCATTCCAGCCCTGAGTGAGGATGTGAAGGGACCTCAGACCCTCCCGCAGCCCTCACCGGTTTTCCTCGCCCTCCAGCAGGCGCCTGTAGGTGGCGATCTCGATGTCCAGGCCCAGCTTGGAGTTCATCACCTCCTGGTACTCCTTGAGCAGGCAGGCCATGTCCTGCTTGGCCTTCTGCAGGGCGCCCTCCAGCTCAGCCAGCTTGCAGCGGGCATCGCTCAGGGCTGCCTCGCCCTGCTGCTCTGCCTCGGCTATGGCAGCCTCGAGTTTGCAACACTGTGGGGAAAAAGAGGAGATAAAGAGTTTGCAAAGGGCACGCAGACCGTGGAGTCCTTGGTAATTCTCCAGTGGCCTTGGTCATCCTATTTGCCTCCATTTAAAATGGTCAACTTCGGAACTTGATGCTTTCTAAAAGGAATGGAAGAATGGAAAATTCACTGGGCAGAAAAAGAATAGCTCATTTGGAGTTTATTTCCCTTCATTTTTGTACCACTTTATTGTATAACCCAGTTGAGTTTTACAAGCCAACCATTAGAGGGAGGAAATGTTAACAACGGAATAGCGCAGATAATCATTAGTGATATTACCATAGATTTGAACACCAATGTTAGTTTACAAGGCATTTTCACAGGTATTATCTTATTTGACCTTCAAAGTGATTCTGTGGGCTTGTCAGAACAGGCATGATTATTCCCATTAGGCAGATGAAGAAATTGAGAGTCAGAGAGGCTGTGATTTGTCCTAGGCTACCCAATTAAGCAATGACAAGCTCAGGTTTTCAGAAGCCACTATACAGGATCTCACTGTTTGGCCCAGTGAGTCCAAAGAACAGCTACTGCCCTTAGGCTGGACTCCAGCCTCACCTTCTGTCCCACGGAGAGGGACCATCGGGATGCAAATGAGCAAGACCAACATCAGGATGGGGACGACTTTAAACCTTCTCCAGTTTCGTTTCTACATAGTAATCTGTTCCCACATGCCATTAGCTCAACTAGTACTAGTGACAAGTCACTTGTGATACATCTTGAACTGTAGTTGAGAAGAGCCACACAAGAGGGAAAGGATGGAAATTGAGCCAGGTTTACGTGTGAGCTCAGCATTCCATTAGAAGTGGTATCACAATTGGGGACAGAGAATGCATTATTTATTTTCTTACTATACGTAGAAAGATTAAATTTGAAACCCTCTTCACTATATAGACAAAAAATAAATTTCAAATGGACTGAAGAATTTAATGTGAGAGGTAATACTATAATTTAATAGAAGACAAAAATATTAGAGGCCACTATGGTTTATCTCAAAACTTTCTAAGTAGAAGCCCCTAAGGGAAGAACTGATAGATTTGGCCACATCCAGGATGAAGGTTTCTGTTCAGGAAAGGACCCTAAGCAAAGCAAACAGATGAGCACTGAGAGAGGATCAATGGATCACAACACACACTCAGCTGACAAAGGGCTACAATCTAGATAGAATGGACCAGCAATGCTACAAATCACCAAGAGAAAGACAGGAATCCCAGTAGGAAACCGGGCAACTGGCACACCCAGGCAATCCTGAGGAGGGGAAAGACAAATGACCAGCAAGTGCATGAGGACATTTCCTTATCACTCATAAAACCAGAGAAATAAAAGATTGATGCTGTTTACATCTATCAAATCCATAAGCACTGGGAAGTCAATGGCAAGTGCTGGCAACAGGAGAGGGGATGGGTTCTCTGGCACAGTTAGAATACAAGCCTCTTCAAAGACCGTGGCATTCCCCAAGAGAGCAGGAAAACAGAACCAGAGGAGTGGCTGAGGCCCCAAGGGCCCTCGCATCCCTGACCTGCTGCTTGGCGTTCTCCACCTCTGCTGTCAGCCTCTGGATGCTGCGGTTCAGCTGGTTGAACTCATCCTTGCTTTTGCAGAGGTTCTCACTCTTCTGGGTTACTGTGGCCTTCATCTCCTCGCACTGCAGGTTGGGAGGCAGATGTACAGACACAGTGGCTGGAGGGCGCAGCGGGATGTCACCACGAGAGTCTTACTAGCCAGCCCATGGTTCTGTAGCAGTCCCACCCCCTGGCCCTGCTCTGCCTGGGACCTCAGCTGCAGCCCCTCTGGGGCGCAGGGGTGCATGTCCCAGGCAGCTCCAGGTTCACAGCCATCCTCCTGGTTCAGAGGGGCAGCCTCGCCCTCCCGTTTACCTTGGTTTGGTACCAGGACTTGGCCTCAGCCCGGCTGCGGCCGGCAATATCATCATACTGAGCCTTGATCTCAGCCAAGACAGTGTCCATATTGAGCTCCCGGCTGTTGTCCATCTTCACCACCACTGAGGTTTCAGAGATTTGTGACTGAAGGATGAGGATTTCCTATGGGAGACAACCAGTGCCCTTGACTCCAAAACCCCCTCCCATCCCATCTGTGTGGGCAATCAGCCCCATCTCCAGACCTTAAGAAAGAAATTAGAAAACTACCAGCAAGAAAGGACGTTTTAGAAATGTAGCTTTGAGAAGAAGAGGCCCATGAGCCCAGGCAGTGAGCAAGGGAGAATTCCACTAGCACCTGGACAGATTTCCACTAGCACCCCCAAAGACAGATTTCTGTGTGTGCAGACCCACTGATCTCTCCACCGCTGGCCCTGACCTCCTCACACCAGCTGTAGCTACCCGTCCAAATGGAATCTATCAGGTAACAGCCAGAGTTAACATCCTGAATTATCTAACTGGGTTTTTACACTACCCAGAGGAGGGAATTAATTGTCACATCTCCATTCCCAGTCATGCCAAGTGGACAGGGAATGAATCACAGTCTCTCAAATCATTTTAAAGGAAGAGAATCACCCATTCTGAGAGGAGGCCTAAACAAGAGGAAAGTCCCTTGGGGGTCACAGAAAGGAAGGTGTTCTGGCCCTAGGAAGGTAAAGAATGTTCCTAGGACCCAGGAACCAGGAGGGGACACACCCCAAATGCCCTTATGTTACCTCCTCGTAGAGGGTCCTCAGGAAGATGGCCTCCTCCCTCAGCGGCTCCACATTGGCCTCTAGGTCTGCCTTGCACAGATAGGCACTGTCTATGTCCTGTGGAGACAGACAAGAGAGGACTGGGAGGGCACACCCACCACGCTGTTCCCTAAGCCTCTGCACTCTCTGGGGCCTGAGGCCATCTCCCAGCCCACTCTCTGCCTGGCCTGTCCCTGCTCCAGCCTGCGTGTTCCCTCCAACCTGGACTCTTCATCTTCCCCTTCAGGGCCTCTCTCTTTTATCAGCTACTGCATTCCCTCCCATGGCATGAACATGGAACCACTTGGAGGAAGGAAGTGAAGTCTGACCCGCTCCTGGGCTGAGGACCCTGTTGAAAGCAAGGCCTGGCCTCACTGCCTCCCCACCCAGCTGCCCTCAGAGCACAAGCATAGGCAGGCAAAGGGGCCCAGGCCAGGCAACACCCCACACCCAACAACCGACACTCCTGCCTGAGACCCAGGTCACACTGTAGCTGGCAGATTTGTCACCAGCCCTCCACTCCACTCCACCATCACTTACAAATCAAGTGACTGAAAAGCACATTATTTCTCTTTTTTTCTTTTCTTTCTTTTTTTTTTTTTTTTTTTTTGGTACCAGGGAATGAACCTAGGGAACTCAACAACTGAGCCACATCCCCAGCCCCCTTTCCTTTCTGTTTTGAGATAGGATCTCGCTAAATTGCTTAGGGCCTCACTAAGTTGCTGAGGCTGGCCTCAAACTTGCAATGCACCTGTCCCAGCCTCCTGAGTTGTTGGGATTACAGGTGTGTGCCAACATGCCCAGCAAGCACATTATTTCACTCACCAATTTGAAACAAAAAGGAAATCATGAGCAGTTTTTTCCTGGGTTGTTTTTTTGTTGTGGTTTGGGTTGGGTTGAGTTTAGGGTGTTTTGTTTTGTTTTGTTTTAATCCTCTCTGGTGGCATTGAATGACAGTCATACTTTCAAAATCACTAGCAAGCTAAGAACCTGGCATCTGGGATGATGGGAGGAGGCCATGCTCACATGTGCTTTAAACAGCTGTAAAAGTGAACATTTTGATTGTGTGTGTGTGTGTGTGTATGTGGTGATTGAATCCATGACCTCACATATTAGGCAAGTGCTCTACCACTGAGCTGCATCCTTGGCTTCACAAGTGAACATTTCAGATAATCAAGCTGCTTATAAACAGACCAACATCATGAGATTTTTTTTTTTTCTCAAGCCTCATCAGCACTGTCTGTATTGCTGGGGGCCCAAAATGGCTTCTGCAGCCAAACCAGTCCACCATCATTTGCCAGGGGTTTGGATTGATGAGAACACAACCCAGTATCCAAATCTCAAGCATCCAAGATTGAGCTCTTCCCCACAAGTCAGAGTTACTCACCTTCTTCAGCAGGACAAACTCATTCTCAGCTGTGGCCCTGAGGGCCAGTTCCTCTTCATACCTGAGGAGAGGGCACAGGTTGTAAGACAGCCCGCCAGAGCCCAGGGTTCCAAAACGCCCTGGTCTTCCCCCTCTTTCTGTGTACCTTTGAAGAAGAGGCTTGGTCTCTCTGAATCTCTATTTTCCAAACACAAAAGAATTTGCAAAAGGACACTGGACTGTGGTCCCAGCTTGGAATACAGTCACTGCAAACCACTGACTCTCTGCATCTTGGCTTAAGTCATCTGCTCTGCGGCAAGGCACACAGTAAATATCTGTGTGATAAGTGAAAGGCACACAGATGTTCGTTCCCTCAAGTCTTTCAACTCTGAAATTGTTCAAAACATCAATGAAACTCTCTGACGCTACACCCTATGAGGTTCTGTCTTCCCCTCCTCCACCCACCCCAGTATCCCAAGACTTGAATTCCTGGAGGCAATGCACAGTCTAGGGCATTTCTCCAAGCCTCCTCCACCAGCCTGGTCCCCTTCCCCTTGCCAGTGAGGCCCCATCCCTGGAGGAGACTGGCCCTAGCTAACAAGGAAAGCAGAGTTCCCAGAGCTTGCTTTCCACGACTCTTTAATTACAGGGAAATTTGGGCTGCAATAAACTCTCAGCTCTGTAATTACCAGTCCTCACATGCCCCAAATGGGAGACAGACCTTGATACCTGACCACTGAAAATTATATGTGTATTTGCTTCACCCCAAGGGAGGTAAAGACCCTCTGCTGTGTCCCTCTAGATGGTAAAAGGTATGATTCCAAGGAAGGTTAGCATTAGAATTCCCAGGATGGATTCATGTCACAATCTCTATTCACTCTGTCTGGATCTGTGGTGGGGCGGTGGTGGGTGGAGTGGATTAACAGTGACCCAGTGAGCTTAGCACAGATAATGGCCAAACTCAATAATTCAGGCTCAAACAAAAGATGGACACTGGCATTTGAATCGTGGAGCCTGATGTAAGGAGAGCTTGATGATTTATCTGCAGAGTAAAGAAAGGACGAGGGCTGGGGTCGTGGCTCAGTGGCAGAGCACTTGCCTAGCATGTGTGAGGTACTGGGTTTGATTCTTGGCATCACATATAAGTAAATGAATAAAATAAAGGTCCATCAACATCTGATAAAAGAAAGAAAGGACCCATCCAAGACCCTCGGATACTTGGGCAGCAACAGCCAGACCATTTTCAAGATTTCCTCTTCCAGGGCCTTTCCCTGCCACCCAGGCTAGACTGGCTTCTCCCAGGTCCTGCTCTCCAGCCCTACTGGGAGCCCTTGGTCCTCCACCTTCATTTGTTCTTCTCCCTCCATCTCTATGCCAATCTGAGTCCTGAGTGGTATATTCCACCCCTCCTACACTAGAAGCTCTTTTTGCTCCAAATCTTTCCCTGGTTTCCAGGACGGGACTGTGAACACTGGGAGTGGAGACAAGACAGAGCAGTATGATAAAGCAGAACCTGACTTTCAGCAGTCTCTGTCTCCAGGAGAGTTGCATGGCCTCAGCCAAACCCTACTTCCACTCCCTGGACCTGTGCCAACCCTCCCGTGCTCACTTCTTCTTGTAGCCCTCCAGCGCCTCCTGCACGTGGTTGAGCTCCGAGGCCAGCCTCCCACTGTCAGCCTCTACATACTCGGCCTCCCGCCTCAGGGTCTCGATGTAGCCCTCGAACAGCAGCTCCAGACTGCTCTGGCAGCACTTGCGATTCTGGTAGAATTGCCACTTGGTCTCCAGCAACTTGTTCTGCTGCTCCAAGAAACGTACCTGCCACCCAGAGTGGAGGAAAAACTCAGGGTGGGAACCTAGGGAGGGCGCCATGTCCGCCAGAACTCTCTCAGCCCTTGGGGATAGCACCTGCCCTGCAGAAGCCCATGAGCTTCCCAAGGAGACCAGCTCATTGGCAAAGTCTGGACGTTCAGGTCATAATCATTCCCCAAGTAACGTCCTCCACCCATCCCAGAAGGAGCACATGATGGACCATCATTTGTTCATTCTGCACAGAACAAAATGGCATCTGATCCTGCAGACTCTGTACCACAAGACCAAATAATGGTCCTTCAAAGATGTCTGTTCCCTAGTCCCCAAGACCTGTGAATGTGTTATGTTACACGGCAAAGGGGACTTTGCCTATGGAATTAAGGTTATGGACCTGAAGATTGGGAGATTTTCCTAGATTTTCCAGCTGGGCAAAAGGTAGTCATAGGGACACTTCAAAGTAGAAGAGGAAGGCCGAAGAGCAAGAGAGATGCTCAGAGGAGGCAAAGAACCCTTTGAAACATAGGATGACATCAACCCACTATTATGAGCAGAAGAGTCCACTAGCCAAGGGCTATAGACAGTCTCTAGAAGAACCCCTGCAGCCAGCCAGCGAGGGACCACAATCCCAATCCTACAACCACATGGACCTCAACTCTGCCAAAAGCCTAAATGGCCCTGGGAATGGACAATCTCCAGGACCTCCAGAAAGAAATGCAGCCCTGCGACACACAGGTGTCAGCATCATGAGAAAGTCAATTTGTGATGTTTTCAGCTACTAAGTTTGTGGGCATTCATATGGCAGCAATTAAAAAATGCACCCTTGGGCTGGGGATGTGGCTCAAGCGGTAGCGCGCTCACCTGGCATGCGCGGGGCGCTGGGTTCGATCCTCAGCACCACATACAAATAAAATAAAGATGTATGTCCACCAAAAACTAAAAATAAATATTTAAAAAATTCTCTCTCTCTCTCTCTCTCTCTCTCTCTCTCTCTCTCTCTCTCTCTCTCTCTTAAAAAAAAATGCACCCTCCACAACTCTCACTCAATCTGATCCTGGGGCACTGGAACCCAGAAGGGGGGAGGGCCCCAGGAATTAGGGGACCCAGCTGCCTAATTAGGCCACCAACCAGGCCACTTGGCCTCCTTCTCTCCAATTCTTATTGCAAACAGAGGCTCTGGCAATGCTAGGCCTATGACTGATGTCTTGTAGCAGCTATGCGCCACCTTCCCCCACCCCCTTCCCAGATAGGCACACCTCTCCGTGTGGCTTCATTCACACCACCTGCCACACCCCCACCTAAATTTGTGATTGCCAGCCCCAAACCAAGTGATTTTCTCTGGAGCTCAATCTGGGAATATAAGCCTGGTACAAAGAATGCTCAATTGTCTATGCTTGTGGAAAAGGACCCCAAACCCTGATTATCCAAAGGGCATCTTCCTTGAGATTGAACATGCAGGTCAAGGCCATGGATAGCCCTCTGGCTTGCTGCTTTGCAGGATTAAACCCATCAAATCTATGCTGTTTGTAGTCTGGAGCCCAAAGCCATCTGGAGCCCAAAGGAAGGACCCTGGAGGGGGGGAGTGGCTATCTATCGGCAGCTCCAGATGAGGGGAAAACTGGCCTGGGACAGTGGTGAGTATCTCCCCAGACCAGGAACTGACTCCTCTCAACAGAGGAAAGCATTGAGGAGCTATGTCCTGAAAACCACGCGCAAACATCCTGTTGAGTCTGCATGGCCAGGCCCTCACAGTACCTTGAGCCAATTAGGGAAAGATGTGCCCTCCAGGCAAATGCAGCCTCCTACCAGAGCACCCCAACAAGAAGCAAGACAAAACCCTCTTGGTCCTAGGTCCCCTCTCCATGCCAGGGAGGCCAGCATCTTCTCTAAGACACTTGCATGCCCCACCCACACCACCTACTGGGTAAAAGCTGAGGGGGAGACAGGGTCACCATGCACACTCAGCTTGCTGTGCAGCATGAGCAGCAGCAATAAACCTTCCGTTCAGTCCAGTGGTTTCACATCCATTCTTAGACCTGACTCTCATGACAACATTTAAAAACCAAGACCCCAATTTAGCTGTGTTTTCCAGGCCAAAAGCCAGTTGGTAGCAGAATTTGAACCTAACCCCTCATCAGTTACTTGAAACTTAGCTCCTTCCTAAGCCGCAGCCCCAGGGAGGAGCTCACAGACACCCCTTGTTCAGGAACCCTGTGATCCAGGACACCCACCTTGTCGATGAAGGCAGCGAACTTGTTGTTGAGGTGCTTGATCTGCTCTTTCTCCTGGTGCTTCACGCACTGCGCGTTGGGGTCGATCTCCAGGTTGAGGGGCGTGAGCAGGCTCTCGTTGACTGACACAGAGGTAATACTGGGGGGACTGGGCCCACAAAGACCCCCTGCCCGGTAGCCAAAACTGGGCCATCGGCGACTCACTGCCACCCTGGGGGAGCCCACCACACACAGGCTCCTGCTGCCAAAGGCCCCAAGGAGTCTGTAGCCCGGCCCCCCAGGACCACCCCCACGGTGGGCCATGGCACTGACACAGCTGTAAGCCCCCAGCTTGGGCACCACAGCAGAGGAGGAGCTGAAGTTCCTCACCCCGCGGCCCGAGCTGATGCGGTAGGAGCGGCTTGCCATGCCTTTGCTGTGCTGGACAGACAGGGAGAGGAGTGAAGGATGACAAGGCCTCACAGAGAGCCCTGTCACTGCTCTTGCCTTTTATTGGGCAGAGGACAGACTTCCTGACCACATAAAAGGCAGGAGAAAGTTATTAATGCCATTTACGAGCGTGGGAATCTCCCGCTAGGCAACATGAGGTTGCTGAAACTCATCTCTTTTAATAGGCACACGGAGGAGACCCTGAGTGACAACAAGCCCTTCCCCTGCCTCTCACCCCCACGGGCCCACACAGATCCATCCAGCCCCTCGTTTCCCTCCAATGCTGTGACTAGACCAGGAGTCCCCATCCCACATAGGCAGGTGGAGGCTGGAGCCAGCACTTTCCTGGAACTAAAGGGTCCTATAACCCATTAAGGTCCCACATGGCCTTAGTGAGACCTTCCAGGCCAGCACAAGTGGGAACTCCTCATATCTTCCCTTGCCATCCCTCACCCACAGGGTGGCCACTGAATACCACTTCAAGTTTGCCACTCGAAGGCCAGAAGCATATCTATTTACCTTCCTATCCTCCTAACAACGAGCACAGTCAGGTCCTCAGGAAGCACTGGTTGACCAAACAGCCTTGACACAGGAAGGAGTGGCCAATGGCTCTAGCTCATCTGCAACTGCTAATGGACGCTCCACCATAGGCCAGATTAGCAGCTGCCTTGGGAGCAGACAAATGCTGAGGTCAACCAGAACAAGATCCCAGCCTGTGTGCTGAGGAATGCAAAGCACAAGGACAGAGGTGGCCCCTGAGGAACTGGGGAGACCCGGCAGAGGTGGGAAAGATCCATGGGAAACGGGGGCGGGGGGATGGTGAACCAGAGACAGAGCACAGAGGGCGTGCCCTTGCTTTCTGAGGAGGGCCACTTGAGGCTGGCTGGAGGGTCACAGAGGAGGCAAGACCACAGCCAAGTCCTCAGTGATGATAAGCTTTGGCAGGAGAACAGGCTGGGATGCAGAGCCACATTGCAAACCTGATCCCTGGAGGGAACGATTGAGTGCGTGAGATCCCTCACAAAGACAGGGGTTACTATCCATGACTCCCACCCCATCTTACAGGACACCTTCTTTAGTGCACCTAGGACAGCATGGAAATGGGGTGCAACAGGGGAAAGCACCTGCCTTTCCATAGGGCACAGTACAGCCCTGTCCACAGTCAGGCCAAACCTGCAGCCCCCAGGTTGATGGGGAAAGCTCTCTGTGCAGGAAACAGGAGTGAAGAGTAATCTTCTGGACTCCCCCTCAGGGAGGAGGCAGCGGTGCACAAGAAAAGAACCGAATACAACAGGAGAGAATGGGGTTCTGTCTGTCTGTATCTCTCTCTCTCTCTCTCTCTCTCTCTCTCTCTCTCTCTCTCTCTCCCTCTCTCTCTCTCCACACAAACATACATACACACCCCTCCCAGGAAGAGGACAAAGAAGACAGAATCACAGAATGTAGGATGGATCCAGAGAGAGCCATAGGGAGCACCAGTCTGAGATGAAGGCCTTGTTTGTGAGTCTACAGGAGAGGGCCCCTTGGGGGACCCAAGTCACCAGAGAAGGGCTGGGAGATGCCCTATAAACCCAACTCTGAAGGAAACACCCATTCATTCCCTGGCCACTGCCTTGCCCCTCACCTTCCACAGAAGTACAGCTTCCACAATAACCTCAACCAGTGGGGAAGAGGTGTGTCCAAATATGAGCAGCTCCCTCACAGCGGACATGCTAACCAAGGACAGCAACGTGGAAACCAGCATTCACTATCCACGCTCTGCAGGGTTGGTCTCAGTTAGTTAGTTTCTGTTAGTTTCCTTTTTCAGGCGATAAATTCTATGGAAACCAGAAAGAAACAAGAGTAACCAGAAAGGCTAAAAGGGAGAGAGAGCATACTTTCAACAGGGTGGTCAGAGGTGGCCTTACTGAGAAGGTGCTATTTGGGAAAGGTTTTGGGGAGGTGAAAGGGATAAGCCACATGGACCAAGGAAAGGAGGCTGGTGTGGCTTGTACAGCAAGAATGAGGGAGAGACCAGAGAGATACCAAGTGGGGTAGCTCCACCCGGATCGTGAAGGGCCAGCATGCCATTGTGGGGACATCTGCTCCCACAGAGAGCCGGGTAGAACTTCAGAGAGTTTTGTACAGAGAAGTGACATGACCTGACATGCTAACAAGACCACTATGATGGCCGCCATGAAGCAGACGGTGGGTGAGGCAGCAGAGAGAGGAGGGAGAGGGCTGTGAAGATCTGGGTCTGAGGAGATGGGGGAGGCTCCTGCCAGGAGGAAGCCCTGTGAGAAGTGATCGGCCGTGAGCAGAAGTTGAAGCAAGGGCCAAAGAGAATTCTTCACAGATTGAATTTGACATTGAGAGAAGGAGGGACCAAGGAGGCCCCAGGCTCACTTGTGGGTTACACTTGTCCTCACAACCAAAAAAGGCAGTAATACAGTGAGACAAGTGCAAAAGCTAAGTGTCACCAGTGCTTTCCTGGCTTTGCTGACTTGTGCAGCCTCGTACGAGTCCCCTATCCTCACTGGTCCCCAGTGTTCTCCACCATACAAACCAAGGTCAGAGCAGATGACTCTTAACATTTCCCAGGGAAGACAGGCATTCTGCCTTGTAGTGAAAACCTTTAGAGACCGTCACTCCACTGTGTGCATGCTAGAAGTCCACTGGATAGACTGAGAGATAACATGATCAGACAGAAAGATAGATAGATAGATAGATAATCACTTCATTGATCCTCAGCACCATACATGACTCTGTAAACTTCTTTTCATCTTCTCTTTTTCGGGAGTCTTCTACCAGCCGAGTCGGATGTGGCAAAGCCTGACAGGAATGTGAGATTGGCTAAAATCAGTTAAGTTTTGTTTTCTTGCAACCTTCCCCCACCCCCAGACTGTGCAGATCTCCATGGTAAAGGACATCCTATAGGATTGACATCGTCCCAGTAAATTAATTTGGTGGGAATGGGGTGCCAAGGGAGTGGATAGGGAGAGCTGGAAGTGATAAGAAAATATTAGGATCAACTTTGATCTGCAGATAAATTATTTGATATCAATTTCTTACCCTCATCATCAACCCAATTAATTACCAGCTTTGTTGCATCATCTCTGTCTACACAAACTCAGTCCAGAGTGCAGAGGTGGGATGGACAAGAGGCGACTGTACTTTTCCTCGTGTATACTTATTACCTTGGTTAAAACAACCTGTTCCAGAATTGTCCTTCATACATCAAGTTGGCTATTTTAATATTTCCAAAACTTTCCTCTTCCCAGGTTTGGAAATCAGGAGATCACCACCTCTCCAACCTCAATAGCCCCCATCTTGTTCCCAGAATCAAGATCTTATTTGTTTCGTTTTGTTTACAGACTTGTTTTTTATGTTTGGGGTTTTTTAATTACTTTATTGAGGTATAACTGTCTTTCCGAAAGCTATGTATATTTGATGTATACAACATAATGAGTTCAAAGATCATGAAACCACCATCACCATCTATGTCATGAACCTGCCCATCACCAGTAAAATTTTCCTACCACACTCTATCATTATATTATTATCATCGTCACCATTATTATTATTATTTGATAAAAACACTTAACAGGGGCTGGAGTTGTAGCTCAGTGGTAAAGTGCTTGCCTAGCTTGGGTGAGGCCCAGGGTTTGATCCTCAGTACCACATAAAAACAAATAAATAAAAATAAAGGTTAAATTCCTAAACCAAAAAAAAAAAAAAAACTTAACATAAGATCTATCCTCTTAGCAAATTTTTTAGTGTACAATATTTTATTGTTAACTGGAGGCATGATGTTGTTATACAGTAGTTCTCTAGTACTTGTTCATCTTGTATCAACCAAATTGTATGCTGTAACAGTCTAATTTAAGCTGACAGCTCTAATTGCATGTAAAAACTCTACTTTTACTTTATCACTTTATGTTCTTAATATCAATATGTACCTCTTTTATTGTATCTATCCCCAACATTTGTGGTTATAGTTAGCCCTCCTGCTTTCATCTTTTAACTTTTATACTTGTATTACAATATTACATGATTCTGTATTTGTCTGTATATTTATCTTTATCAGTTGTTTTAGCCAGCTTTTTTGCCGCTGTGACTAAAGGACCAAACCAGAACAACTATAGAGGAGGAAAAGTTTATTTAAGGGCTCATGGTTTCAGAGGTCCTAGTCCATAGACAGCAGACTCCATTCCTCAGGGTTTATGGCAGAACAGTATGGCAGAGGGAAGCAGCTCACATGTTGATCAGCAAGCAGAGAAAGGTCTCCACTTGCCAGATGCAAATATATACCCCCAAGCCACGCCCCCAATGCCCACCTCCAGTCACACCCTACCACTTCAATTATCGCTCAGTTAATCCCTAATTCACTGATTGGTTAAGACTCTCACAACCCAGTCTTCTCCTCTGAACCTTCTTGCATTGTCTCACATGTGAGCTTTTGGGGGCCACCTCACATCCAAACAGTAACACCAGTGAAATTAATGCTTTCATATGTTTTTATGTTGCTACCCAGCGCCATTGTCCTTTGTTCCAACATGAAGAACTCCCATTAACGTTTCTTGTAAGGCTAAGCTAGTGGGGACAAACTGCCTCTGCTTTTGTTTGCCCAGGAAAGTCTTAATATTTTCTTTCTTTTGTCTTCTGTACTTTCTTTTATTATCATCATAGTCTTTGCATCAAGATGCATAGCAATGATAGCGAGTTTCTTTTTAAAGCTTAGTATTAAATATCATTCCCCAGTTTAATTTCACATTACTCTGCCAAGAAAAAAAAAAGTTTTTAAACTCAAGTTATCTGAAGGCTTTCAGGAAAAAAACAGAATTTCACACTTCCATGATTAGCTGGGCTACATAAAAGTCAGTGTCTTTATTCTTCCTGCTATGTAAGCAGATCTAGGCTCTAGAAAGATGGGCCCAGGTTATAACTGTTTTTGAAAAGTGTGCTACAAAAATGGATGGCCTGTTATGAACCAGGTTACAAAGAAAGAATGTGGGTAAAGGAGGGACATTTTCTTTCAG